CAAAGTTTACATAAAAATGACAATCCCAAAGCCCATTTACTCGAAGCTGCAAGCTAACGCTATTCAATTCAGAAATATACAATTTCGAATAGAAATTTTAATGCCGCGTCAACAAAGTTTTATGCAATTCGCCTGGTCATACTAAGCCGCATATGTATAGGACACGTCATTTAAAATTCTATTAAATTCTCGTTCTGACGGAAGTGACAGGAAAATAAAATCCCGTTTGTTTAATGACTTGCGTAACTCCAAATAAAGGTGTAAAACTTCGGAAGCGAAATGGATTAGATATTATTAAACAAAAGTTTACGACGTTGGAAATATGATTAAATAATAATAATAATGATTGAGAATTTTGAATTTGTATTAACTAATAAAAAATAAAAATTTTGTAAACTTTAAAAATACTGAAAACCGTTCGAGCATGGATCAAAATTGACATTACAAAATTTAGTAAATGACTAAAGTAAAGCAAGGACTAATCAATGTAAAGGACTAATCTAACTAAATTTTGAAAAGTATTATTTTCAAAATTTTACATATTTAAAGAAAACTAACAAAATCACCAAATAATGGTGTGTAAATTATTTCAGGAAGAATATTAAATACGGAAATCGAACAACAAGAACCTCCCTTTTTATCTTTAGTATAAGAACGCCTAAAACTATAATAGTAGTATAGTTGAAATGGGCAAAGAATTGACAACTGACTTATTTCAAAAATGTTTGTTATTACGATTTTTATGTCATTTTAGTAGTAATAAAATTTATTATAACTTTTGTATGTATCATTTTCTACTACAATTATTAAATATCTATGGACAGCTCTCAAATTCCGAAAAACTAAAAATGGTTTTGAGTAGAGCTTACAAACCTGCAATTCCTTGCCCATTAAAACTTTTTCGTATCTGCTACATCTTCCGAAATACTAATTACTGAAGTGCCAACCAGATGTACAAACATGTGCAACTTGTGGAATGATCAAATACATTGGCTGCGGACAAGGTCTGTCGAATTACAATAAACTATTGGCGTGCCAGATTTCTTTGCTATTTAAGTATATCTATGCTTCACATTTGTTTTTAAATGGCAATAATACCTACCAACTTTGAAAGCAAAATTCAGAAAAATGTGCAAAATGAGAAAAAACAATTTTCTTCGCAAATATTTGAAAGCGAAGCATTTTTAGACGACATATGTTATTTTTATGTGCCGAATACTCTGTTAAAGTTCCTCCATTTCAATTTCGATCACCTTGTATAGTGGTTCTGACTGCTTTTAGGCTTTACTCGTTTACTTCCTTGGTATATATGTATACTTCAAAAGATTTTAAACTGGATATTGCACCATTGTGCTCCCAGTTTCAGACCAGCTTTTATATTTAGGCTGGGGTATTCCAACATTACGCTTTTAGACCATATTTTTGAAGACTTACGGACATTTGTTCGATTATCACTAATACCTTTAATTTCCATAAAGCGTATCGATTTGTTCGATCCATCCTTGGTACTGAGTTTTGTATTTATCTAGGTCGGTTGTTAATGAATCGAACTTTCCTGTTAGCTTCGTCAGAGCTTATCTGAAACTGTTTCTTCACTACAATTGACCACCCTGTAAGGTGGCTGTGACTACTTTTAAGGATCACTCGTTTACTATTTTGGTTTTGAGACTATTAGTGAGGCGTTGATTCAATATAAATACTTCAAGAGATTTGAAGTTGGGTATCGCCCCATTGTGGTCCTAGTGTTAGACCAGCTTTGTTGATGAAGCGAATTTGCTACTTTTTCACCAATCATCCCATGGGCTTCTTCGAGCTTGACTGAATCAGTTTCAACAACAACCGATGCAGGAGGAACCCATAAAATTTTTAAATAGTATCTATTTGTCTTACTCGCATGGGTTATCTAAAGCGCAATTTATTTCGATCAGTCTATCAGTATACTTCTTCTGTCCTACTAATGTCGAAAAAAATAATTTTTATTTTTATTAGATCATACAAAAAAATCATTCAAAATTCTAGATCATTAAATGCCACTAGAGTGAAAACTTGGTATAGTAACTAGAAATCAAGTTCTCTTTATTGTAAAATTCGCCATATTTTCATCGCAAGATCATTTTTATCGTATAATTATGAATTTGCTCGGTGTATCAAAAGAACATTGCCGCATGAAAAATGGGTATTAATGTACACCGTGTGCCAAAAAAATACGATCCAATATAAATATAAAATATTATAATTTTGTTTATAGGGGTTCCCCCCCAACCGACATACTCTTTGTTATTTTAAATATATTTCAAATATTTTTGGAATCCTTGGTTACAATAAGGGTCACTTTCTTAAGAAATTCCTATTCAAATTTTTAATAGTTTAAGCAGATATTGAGGTTATGTGTTTTTCTTCATATTTTGATTTCCCCATATAAAATTGTATGGTGCGCTACTGATTCAAGCATTGCAACGAAAATTTAACCACAGACTAAGGAGATGATGCACCACTCAATCAGTTTGACAGATGCGCCTCGGCAGGGTGTCCCAAATAGATTGTGCCGTTTTGGCGAATTCAATTAACAAAATTTCAAGATTTTCAAATGGAACACTATATTTTTATGCAGATATCAATTCTAGGACAAAAAATAAGGTAAGTTTGTAATTTAACTTATATTTAAATTTTACTTACTTTTTGAGATATTTGAGGTTTAATATAACAGCCGCATAAATTCTTGCATTCTTGAATTTACAGCTTTGTACATTAGGTCACTTGTTGGCAATATTAGGTATTTTTTAAATAGCAAAGACATGAGACTACTACTTTTAAAAATATAATACTCCAGATATACGAATAAAACATATTGCTAACCATACAAATAAAGTTTATTTGTATTGTTAGCAACATGGAGCGAAGTAACGAACCCTTTTTAGTTAACTTTTTGTTTAATAGATTTATTTATTCAAATTTGTTACCTTGTTTAGTTAGCCTATAAACTTCAATGATATATTTTTCTTATTAGGTATTTTCAATCAAGCTACATAATTAACTCTTAAATGTTTCTTTAAATATGAATTTTAAAGTTTTATTAAATATGTTTTCAAAATTTCCACGTATTAATGGACACCCATCTTTAAAAGAAATCGTATCACGTCTCTGCTATTTAAAAAATACCTAATATTACCAACAAGTGGCCTAATGTGACAGCTTTAAATTCGACAAGAATTTATACGGGTGTTACGTTAAACCTCGACTATCTCAAAAAGTAAGTAAAATTTAAATATTAGACAAATTACAAACTTACCATATTGTTTGTCCTAGAATTGATATCTGAATAAAAAAATTTGAAAAATTTGAAAATTTTGATATGTTGTTAATTGAATTCGCCCAAAACGGCACCACCTATTTGGGCCACCCTGTATAAACTGAGACGCATCTGTCAAACTGAATGAGTAGTGCATCATCTTAGTCGGTGGTTAAATTTTCGTTGCAATACCTGGGTCAGTAGCGTCACAATACAATTTTATATGTAAAACTATGTAAAATTTGAACAGGAACTTGTTAAGAAAGTGTCCTTTATTTTAACCAAAGATTCCAAAAATGTCGAAATATGGTCCATTTAAAATAACAAAGTTGACGTCGGGGGACACTCTTGGTACACCCTGTATCAAGAAAATTTATATATTTTTATATAATATTTAAAATTTGAAATCTTCAGGAGAGTCCAAGAAACTTTTGTATGATTTTTTTTTTCGTATCTCCTATGGGTTTCCATATCGTACAGTGGATTGTTTTATTTGGTGCACTGTCTACAATATTACCAACTTTCAAGCTAGCTACATCCGGCAGTAAAATACATAATTAGTGTAAAGGCAGAGTAGTTTCAAAATTGCGGAAAGGATGACAACTATTTCAAGAATTCACCTAGAATCGTCAAAACAGATACGGAAATTATGAACAACCATTTATATTATTATTAATTCCGGACACCACCTAGTAATGTATTCTTACTCAGGATGAATCAAGAAAATTTCATGGTATTTAGATATTTATTTATGTTTTTAAAGTTTCAGAAATATAAATAATAAGCAGTGAAGCTGGTGATGGTTGCATTGATGATTTTCATTAGTATTAATTTTTTGGAATCAAGTTTATTGTACCGGGTGTCCTAGTAAAGACAATAGAAATTAAAAAAAAATAAATCGGCCAACAGAAAATGCTAGAACTTAAGTTTGAGTTTAAAATTCTAGGTAAGAATTACGCCCTCTGGTGGGCATTTGAAAAACTTGATGGTCGATTTACTTTTTTTTTTTTCAAATTTCTAGGACCGTTATTTTTTTCTAATAATATACCTCGGTGCCGTTACTGGGAAATCCGGTATACCAAAGGATCAAACAAGTAAAAGAAAGTCATATTTTTTTAATTATTCAAAGTAAATAAAAAAAATTCCAGAAATGTCGTTCGTTAAGATACTTATATACATACATATAAACTTTTTCTGTTTTTATGGATGACGAATCTATAGCCGAGCGTTGCCGCTTGTTTCTTGACACACCCTGTATTTTTCGATGACGTCCTTTTAACTAAAAAGGTCTTGAAACCGAAAGTGAAGACCCTATCAGTTTTATTTTTGAATATAATATCATGGGGCTTTCGCAATCTCAAACTGAAAGTTTATGCGACACATCCAATGACAGCTTCCTGATCAAAAAAAAAAATCAACTCTCTCACACACCAAACAATCTGACTATCAAAATTATGAAATTCCTGAAAATTTTCTCATTGGCAACGAACCACGGTCAGTCGGAGGACATTAAAACAGATATCGTTCAGCCCGATAAATGCAATATAGATTATTTTAATAAGTAATCGCCGCTAATCGCAAATGCCCTAAACCTAAAACCAATCTCGAAACGCTACCAATTCTCTACTTGTCGGAACTAAGGAAAAGAAGCAATTTTTCAAGCCAAAACAAACATAAAAAGCCAGAAATTTCAAATGAAAATTCAATTTACCAGTAACGAACGCTAGCGGAACCTGAACAGAATCGCACATAGTGTTAGAAAGAGGACATGATACTGGACGCGTATTTCATATGAAAATACGTTTCCGTATACAACCGCCTGCAGGACTTGTTGAGTTTGAACTGAAATATTCGGTGGATCAAAACAGACAACCTTCGCGGAGAACGTTGGCCCGAGCTTGCGTGGATATTCTCCAATGGAAATGGAGTTCAGAAGTTGCAGTCGTGTCGTGTACGGGATGTTCCGTATAAAAACTTACACGTTTCCGGTGGATTTGTTAAAATAGTTGAAGAGCAAAAGTAGTAAGCAGTCATCGAATACACACCATGGAAGACGAACGCATTACATTAATAATTTTCTATTTGATTTACCGTCGACATAAGCACAAGAATGTCACAGCAGAGTATTTTGGGTGCATCCAATAAATTTACAAAAGAAGGACGTTAGCGGTTTAAATGCCTTATATCTCTGGTTAATGTAGGACGAACAACAATTTTTGAATTACTTACATAGCTCCACAAAATAAAACACCTACCGAAATGTTAGCGGTCACATTAAGGTGAAATATGAAGTGGAAAAATCTTTGTTGTTTAGAAATTGAACTGAGGTGGCTTTTACTTGATGAAAATCCATTTATCAAAATAAATAAGAACTAAAAGTTCAGATTTTCACGAAATTATATATTTTTACATGACAATTGTTTCGACAACACCGTGTCTTTATCAAATGTAATATTTACAAACTATCTGCTACTATATATATCGAAAAATTACAACAAAACCTTAATGTTGTGAGAATTTAAGCTCAATAAAGGAGAGGTTAAGCAATACATTTAATCTCCATGGCTTCCAATAAATTTTATTTTTTACTTTTTGTGGCTGTATATAAAACATCAAAATTATCGTCAAAAATGTGTTTTTCTGTGTTTAAGTGTGTAGCATAATTAGAATCTAGACTACTGTTTTTAAAAATTTTCCTATTTTGTTGTTAGTTTTGAAAGCTATTTTTAAACCACATTTTGACAAATGTTTTGAAACTTTTTCACTGGGTTCTCCTATTTATGTAATTGTTTTAAATTGTTCATATTCTGTATTAGGTTTCGGATAAATATAGTTTATTGTTGTCTGGATTTGTTTTTTATTTATAATTTTATCTATAATGGACGGATTGTAGCCCTTGTTCAATGCAATTTGTTTAATGATATCAAGTTCTTTGTGGCAATTTTCTGTTAAGAGTGGCGTATTAAGAAGTCTGTGTACAAAAGAGTGAAATGCAGCAATTTTGTGTGTATAAGGGTGATTTGAGCTGTTATGTATGACTGTGTCCGTGTGTGAAGGTTTATGATAAATTGAAAAATTTAATTTGTTTTGCGTTTTCGTAATAGTTAAATCTAAAAAATTAATAGTGATCCCCAATCTCGACAGTGAATTTTATACGATTATGTAATGAGTTAATGTAATTTAAAAAAAAAATTAAATTGTCTGTCCGTTCCAACAAAGACATCATCCACGTATCTATACCACCACAGAAAACTTTTACTTAAAGGAAGTTCCAAATATCCATAAAAATCTCGCCTAACAAAGGCCTAAGAGGGTTTCCCACCAATGGGTTAACTTGTTTCCGAGTTAGTTAGTTACTAAATCCATCACATCCATAGGTGGAATACTGGGAAATAAGTTTTGTACATCAAAAGGCAATAGTGTTGCGTTAGAAGGGATTTTGATATCTTTAATTTTTTTGATTAATTCAAAAGAATTTTTTTTTGGTTAACAACTGTGTGGAACTTTAAAGTTTATTTTAAATATTTGTCAAAATGTGGTTTAAAAATACCTTTCAGAACTAACAACACAATATGAAAATTTTTAAAAAACAATAAAACGAAATGTCCAAAATCTCAAAAATCAGATGTTTACACGTTGAAATGCGGATCTTGTCCTAAAATTTATATTGGACAAACAGGTAGATCCTTCAAGAAACGCATTAACGAACATAAAAGAGCGTTTAAGACGATAGTCCAGATTCTAATTATGCTACACACTTAAAAACAGAAAAACACATTTTTGACGACAATTTTGATATTTTACATACAGCCACAATATAATTTCGTGAAAATCTGAACTTTTAGTTCTTATTTATTTTGTTGTTTAGTTTGGGTTTACACAAAAAATACACAAGCATTAACCCCATCTTAACTGTTGTCGGAAAAAGGAGAATTTGCGTTGGTTGTGTACTGCACTCGTATGTCCGGTGTAGAGAAAGTAGATGATTTTTGTTGTAAAGTTGATGACTGTTTCAAATGAAAAATTCTGTGACACATTCGGTTGGGCATATAAGTAGGAAGCTGTTCGGTAAGGGCAATATGGCTCGGTGAAAAGCTGAGTAGTGAACATGATTCTTCTACGTTTGTTTTTTTTTTTAATTGAATTCAAAGCATCCATTTTAGATTCAAATGTTTTATCATTATTAAAAGTTTCCAACGAGGGCAAGAGACTAACAAACAAATTCATATGAGGATTTCTGTCTATTATGTCGCCTATTCCTGATGGGTTTTCCAGTTATTCTATAATTTTTATCTTAAATTCATTAGGTTTGCGTTTTCGGATTATTTTGCGCAACCGCGTATGATGATTGAGAATTTAAGGAAGGCTGTTCACCATTATCTGATTGTTGACTGGTGCTTCTGGCGTTAGTGTAGGATGTAAATATAACGAAGTTTTTGCTGCAGCGAGAGATGTGTTCTGCTGCTTAATTTTCTTAAAACTTCTCAAAAATTGTCTCGAATACGACAGTTATTTCAGTAATGCATAATTGTCGTGATTACATCTGATGATTTATTGCAAAGTTATCTTTTAGGTACGTGGCTAGCTGATGTTCATTGGCTGATCTCCATTACTTCTACCGAAAGAAGAATATATGGCGGTATCTAATGAAGATCAATGGAATTCTATTGCAGAAAAATTTGAATAAAAAGCGAATTTTCCCAATTAAATTGGAGCAGTGGATGAGAAACATATCCGTGGGATCAAACCACACAAAAACAGTGGATTCAACTATAAAGGCTATTTTTCAGTTGTTCTTCTGGAAATAGTAGACGGTAATTACGAACTTGTTTGCCTTAATGCCTTAAAAATTTCCAAAGCGTCGTGCAAAGCTGGGACAAGTATTTCCACTAACCACTCATTTACTGCGACCATCTTTCAGAATTTGCCATTTTGTAAGGCAAAAGTATGGTTGAAAAAACATGTACTGCATTTTGCACTTTGGGTTTTGTCAAAGTATTCTGAAATTCTGAAATTAAATATGTTTTACCAAAAGATGCGTAAAAGCATTTGGAAGACAATAAAAGTAAAATTATGTAATATTCCTCATGATAAAATTTAACTTCTAGTTGTATAAAATTAAAACGAATTTCAATAAAAAGGAACATTAATTTTATTTTACAATAACAGTTGCCCGATATTGGAACAAACGAAATAAAACTACTGCATGACCTTCTCTGTCCCAATACCAATAGCCTTTGACATTATTTGTAAAGTCTCGATATTTTTATTAGAAAAATTAATTTGGTTTGATGAATCAGTTGCCATGATCTATGTAAATTCATGTTCGATTTCCAAATTAGAATCGCTTATTCTCCAAAATCTTTCACTTACCTCGAGAGATTATTAATTATTGGTTAGCCTCATAAAAGTATTCTTCGACGTGTAGGCTTTTGAAAAAGTGTTTTTTTTTCCATAAGAATGGTGAAATTTGATTACATTTTTGTTTTTGTTGGAGGATAAGAATGTAGAAACAATAAGCACACTACCTTCTTGTTTTCTACTAGCTTAAATTTCTTTTTTTTTTTTCAAATTCACCCAATTCTACAAAAAAAAATGCTCTGAAGATCTTAATTTAATGGGTATAAAATTTCTGAAAAAAAATCCGATTCTCTAGTTTGACATTCTAAAATACTATTCAAAATATTAGTCAACCCAATTAGGTAACCCTATTGGGCATCATTGTCGCCTTGGTATTAGTTGGCGAAAATTTTCTCAAGGGCACGCATATATGAAATCAATTATAACTCCTTTTTGTCCGATCATAATGGAAATACTTCTTTCTCGTGTTTCCATTTTCATAACAGTTACTTAAGTCCTTGACTCTATTTTATGATAAGCACACAATACCCACAACTTTCAGCAAACAACCCACTCACTAACTAAGTATTTATTAAAACTGAACTTCCAAAGAAAAAAATCCTTTTACAAACATAATCACGACAACGTCGAGACACAAACGTCTTTTATTTCAAGCTCATTAATTGACCAGATGTAATTGACAACGCTGTTTTGTGTTTTTTCAAGAATACGATGTTCGACTGGACAAACCACGGAATATGAAGGAGTGATTTTATTCTATTACGTTCAAGAATAAAGTTCCAGAAGGTGGCATCTGATTTGTTATCCAACCTTTGGTCTTTTTTCTGCTTTTTTTCATTTTTTATTACATCTTAGCAAGTTGTTTGAAATGTATACAGATTACAGCGTTATAGTTTAAAGTTTAATTTTCAATCAATCAAAAAATATTTTTGTTTTAACGGAAATAAAATGGACCATATTAAATTTAAAGTCTTCAGGACCATGATTAAGGTCAGAATCTTAGATATGCACCCAATATTTATTCGCATAATTCATATTCATTTTAGCTGATTTCTATATAACTTTTATTATTATTTTATGTTTTATGATATCCTTATAATAAACTTTATGTTAATATATAATTAATATATAATAATATATAATTCATTAATATAATTGGGTAATTTAATACCTATTTTATACTAAATTTTTAGAATTCAACTTTAAACTTACTCTTGACCATATCTTACCACTTCCTCTCTTAATCTTGGTGCAATGACAAACTATTTACATCTAAATATATTTAATCTTTCATATTAAGGAAGATATTACCAATTTTTAAAGTCGCCAAATTTTTCGTAGCTCAGAAATTACAGGTGCCATTCAAAATCTGACTACAACATTTGAAAAACTATTGCAGTTAAGTGCAAACGGCATATTTGTACGAGGTCCGTTCAAAAAGTAAGGTGGCTTTAAGGTTTTATCAAAAAGTATTCATCTATTTATCAAAATTAATGTTGTCCCCTTCAAACTAATCCCCCAGATAACACTTGTGCCACCGTTTTTTCCAATTTTCGAAGCACTTCTGGTAAGCACATTCCTCCATCCTTTCATAGGTTTCTTGAGTTTTGGGAACAGGACAAAGTCGTAGGGGGCCATATAAGGTGAATATGGTGCCTGAAGCGTGCTTGTGGTTTGATTTTTGGCCAAAAAGTTAGACACAAGCAACGACGAGTGACCAGGTGCATTATCGTGATGCAAAATCTATGAATTGTTTTTCTGAAATTCCGGACGTTTTCTTCGTACTGCTTCTAGCAAACGGAGCATAACTTCATTGACATGACATGACATTTCATGACATCAACTCTTCATTGACTGTATGACCTTGTAAGAATTCTTGATGTGCCACGCCACGATAATCAGAGAAAACAGTAAGCAAAACCTTGAAATTTGATCGGTCTTGGCGATTCTGGGTTCTACCATTGGGAAGACCGGGCTTTGGTTTTGATGTCATAACCATAAAGCTATGATACGTCACTAGTTGTGCTCTTTTTGATCATATCAGGATTATCATTGACGTCATTTAACATCTCTTGAGCGATGTAACCTTCGACGGTCTTTCTGTTCAAAATTAAGCAGTCAAAAATTGCATGACAATACCATTTGTTTCGCTTCTTCGACTCTTTCATCAGTTATTGATTAGCTGGGGCGTTTAGAGCAAGGTGCGTCACCGGCGTCTTCTCGGCCATCTTGGAACAGCTTGTACCACTTATAAACAATTCTTATATTCAAAGTAAATTCACCATATGACGTTGTTTTACCGCACTTTATTCCATTTTTTTGAACAAAATTTTATCTTAATTTTTTGTTCCATTTTTTTTACAGCGGAAAATCTCCGAGCACACAAAATACGTCAAACGCTTCTGTCTCACAAAAAAAAGTAAAAGTGCAAACGTGGTGAAGGCTGCGATCATATGTTAGCGACATGTGTAATAACATAACAAAAAAGAATATCGAATGTACGTAGCCCGCCCAATCACAAAAGTCACCTTACTTTAGGAAAACACCTCGTATATTCACTACAAACGGAGTTTCCCTATAAGGTCACATCGAGAATGAGACAAATTTTGCTCTTAGAAGGAACGATTTTCACCAAATTTCTCAACCTAAATTAAATATCCATAATAAGGCTTAAATTCATTCATTTCTCGACCTAAATTAAATATCCATAATAAGATTTAAATTCATTCAAACAAGAAACGAAAAACAATGATGAGTTCCTAGTTTGAGACGTCCGGTACACCAACTGCGGATTTTATGGTCGTTACAAATGCGATAGAGAACTGCCTTTTTTCTTTAAAGCAATAATTAGCACAACCAACAGTTTTAAAAGTTTTAGGTTTTACAACTTAATTACAGTACCAATGCTAGTAGGAATATTGATTGGCTGAAAGGGGATAAGCATTATCAAAAAAACAACATTTTATATGCAATGGAAATATGGGGTGATAAGGATAACTGGATAATTTTTTCTAATTATATTTATCCGCACACTCAGCATGGCTTAGATAATATATCGACCATGAAAGTATTGGCACCCTCCGAGATATAGTCCGATGTAACAATTTTTTTTGCAACCCCCGTGAAGCAATCTTTATAAATTCAATAAGGCATGCCTTGGTAACCTTGGTTTGGCATTATTTTGTTTGAAGATAATCTATATGTTATTGAGGTTCAATAATGTAATACTATTAACTGTAGATGTTCCTTCCAACAAAAAATAAATCTAATTATAATAACATGATTAGTATAAAATCCCTTCTTCTATACTATTCCAACTGTGGTTAGTCCTTGTCCTTCTTAGCCGAAGCATTCCATCTTTAACCTCGTATCCCTCCTTCTAATGGAGAATGCAAGTCTTTTTCTCTTCTCAACAGAGCCTCTATTTGCTATGGGCGATCGTAGTCGGGGGACACTAAGACTGAGGGCCCACTTGTGGACCTGCAGCGTAGAGGATCTAACAATGAGATCCACGGCTCCCTCAATTCCAGTATACTCTTTCACTTATACCGTACATTCAGTACGCAGTCTGCCAACTTCAGCTTCAAGAGCATGTCCCCCGTACCGATCTAGTCAATCTTTTGTAAGGATTCTCGCTATGCTGTTGCCTTTATAGCCAGAGCCTAACGGTTTTATTCTGTTCTTGACTTCCGGATTCTTAGGGTTCTTAGTTAAGACGTGAAAAATCATATCCTACACATCAGCCATGCAAGATGATGTCTACTACCAACAGTTAGAAGCGTTTAAAATGCGGGATTTCCGACGAATGTTTAGGATACCAACAGACGGTTGAAGATGAACCATCCTAAAGATCTTACATCTTTTTGGAAATACACGCAAAAGTTTTCTCGGTATGTATGTTTATTATCAATTTCTGATTAAATATGTCGCTTTAAAAAAATAATTGCATATGCTGCCCACCAAACAGTTAATTATAGCGAATGTATTTTTATGTGTAATTTTACGAACTTCAATAGTATCGGTAACGCAAGCAAACAGGGTAACACGAAATAGTGTACAGAATGTATAAGCTACTGGTTCTCCTCCTAATAGGCATTAAGTGTGCCAATTCAAAACGCGTCTGCAAAACCTTTCCAGATTATTACAATGTTTTCAGCAAAGATTGCTATGATAGTCCTTACTTAAAAATGAGTGAGGTAAGCAAAAATCTTTTTAGGATTTTAGTTTGCAATGCAATCGACAAATTTTATTTAATAACTACTTAAGGAAATTAGAAACATTTTTCTTTTCTATTTCACTGCATTCTTCATTACTAAAAATATGTTAAAGTGTCACTAATTTGGCAAACGGGCACGCTTTTTCCAGGCGGAAATTATTCGTTCTTGGGGTTTCACTGCGGAGGAATATGATGTTGTGACGGAAGATGGATATATTCTAAACCTTGTAAGGGGATATGCTAACAAAACCAAAAAGCACGCAGTAGTGGTAGGACACGGCTTTGCGTCAAACGGTTACCAAATAATTTTCAAAGGGACGACCTCATTAGGTAAGCATAAAACTTTACAAAAAAGCATATGTTGATGATAGTTCAAGCTAACTAATATTAATATCAATAATTGCATACTATTACACACTAACATGACCTGTACAACCATCCAACCATTAATTGCAAAGTAAAATACTGAATCTTATTAACAGTTGTGTCCAACAGAACCAAAAGATAATGCAAACCATAATTACTTATTTCAGCTTACGTTCTGGGGAAAAGTGGCTATGAATTTTGGATACCTAATTATAGAGGCAGCAAGTTCAGTAGGGGGCACACATACTTGTCGGACAAAAATGAAAGTTATTGGGATTTTAGGTAACTTTTTGTTTTTTTTTTCCTGTATTGATATTGCGATTGCAAAAAGCATAACTACCTTCTGTAATATTGGTATTTTGTCATACAAAGCCCACAAAGAAAGCAAGAGTAATACATTTGGACACCTTTCCTGTAATTAGATATATCATGTCGTACGCCAATGGTCCTAGAGTGGTCAAATTGATAGTTTTCGTGATTATTGTGTCTATGTCATTCTCATTCCTATAAAATATCAAATTTTGAAATATACAGGTTGTTCCAAAATAACCACTAACCACTGCAAATATACCGGAAAAACAAAGTTGCTATTTTTTATCCTATAAACGGAAATAGGTAGAATAATAAAATATTACGAAAGTATTATTATCTTAAAAACACACTTTCTGCATATCTTTTTATTTATTTAAAATAAATGGATCAAATCTTAACAAAATTGAACCAAAAAATTATGCAATGACAAAAAAAATATGTATATTAATGTTATGTTTTATTTGAAACTTTTCCGTAGTAATTACCGTTTCCAAATAATAGAAAAGGAGAATCTAAAGGAATGCATAACGAGATAAAAAAATTATTAGATAAAAAAATTTAGTGAGCTGCTGTGACTTCTTAAGGATTTCTTATTATTGCTTTATTTGACATTGATCGGTTAGTTTGAATACAAAAGCATTAAATTGTTCAATAATAAGAGTCTTAATTCAATAATGGTGAATTGTGCTAATGCAGAAATAACGGATATGCGGCCTTATTTTATATGTCTTAATTTGGCTTGATTTATTTAAATAAAATATAGTTTATGAATGAATTAGTCACGGAAGTGCTTACTAATAAATTATTTTTACAATGTAATTGTTTGGAAGATAATTTATCGCCTGTATAAAGCCTAACTAAAATAATTAATTTCAATTTTTTTTTTATTTCTATTGTTGGAAAAATTACAAGAGGTAAAAAATAAACCATAAATTTACGTTTTTTCTTAAATTTAGTTAAAAAGAATAATAGTACTAGTTCTAATAATTCCATCAATTGCACTAGTTTAAAAAAAAATGCAGAAAGTTGTTGTCATAATAGTAATACTTCTATAATATTTTATTATCCTATATGTTGTCGTTGTTAAAATATTTTGTCCCAGTCGTTTTTACTGTTGAGATACCGGGTTGCAAAGTTTCAGAAATACATTTGTAATATCACTCTATACATTTTAATGCAATTTAATTTTTTCGACACACTGTATCTCAAATCTAGATAAAAATTTTGAATTGCTAATTTTTACTCATTTTGACTACAAAAATTGAAAATGAAGTTAAACAACAGCGTTAGGAACTATATAAAATTTTATTTCATTTTCTTTATACATTTCAAAAATATTTGCAAAAAGAACTTTTGTGTCTATTGTAAGGGGTGGTCAAAATCAAATCAAATCTATTGGAAAGACATACAAAGGATGTCCCGTAATTTTTACATAGTTTGTTCCAGCGAAGATGAAACAAAAAACTAAGCAGTGTAAAACCATTTTTTGAGGGAATTGTAAAACCGTTAAATATTTTCCAACCCCGAAGTTAAACCCCTCGCAGAGTATCCACAAAATATCTCAAACATTGATGGAGGGTTAGAAAGATGAATCAATAACCCTTCAAGTAAGTTACCTCTTACCTCTTATCCGAAGAGTTTTTTAAATTAGGATTTTAAAATAATCGCAGTTTTTACATTTTAAGTTTTAAGTATTTATACAGACTAGGTTGGCACAAAAGTATCATAATCTTTTAATTTTATAAATCATTCTCAACTCGATATTATTTTTATTCTTATACTATAACTGGTTATGAGAAATTAATAAACCTCCTCATTTTTTATTTATACAACCCCGATTATAAGTTAATTACTGTTTAAATCCATAACAAGCTAAAATTTGGAACGTAGTTTACCAAGGCCACGTACATTAGTTCAGTGCAGAGAAATTTATTCTGTGCTATGCAGAGCGACTTTAAGATATCTGCTTCTTTTTCTAAGGGTGTTTTGGCATTTCTAATTGTCCCGTTTACACATGTCCACCCTAAAACTAATGGTCGTAGTATAGTCCGCAACCGGTTGTCTTCAGTATCTTCAGTTACTCGTTTATTAAACATTCGCTGCACTGCGCTCCGTTCGTGCCAAGTCAAACTCGCAACTTGTTGCATAGTATACGCAATACATAGCGAGTGTTTAATAAATGAGTGACTAATAGTATATTATGCAACAAGTGGAGAGGAGCGCAGCGGAGCGCGAGTGTTTAATAAATGAATGTTTTAAAAAGTTTACCGAACGTGTTGCATATTATACTTTTTCTACGACCGTTAGTTTTTGGGTACATTTTCACAAAACAACACGAATACATCCACTGACATGACCGTCAGAATTGGCAAACGTCGAAAGTGTCCGAAGTGGCTTGGATTCGTAGGAAACGAAACTGGCGTAGTAAAGTGACGTTTCCCGCACGCTAGATCGGTGTGTAGTTAGGCCTTTTACAGAAGGGAATAGAAAAAGAAATTTATCTTACATTTTATCCTTTTTCTGCAATTTTTGCACTGAGTGACGTATGATGTACCATCGGAATTGACAAATTGACATCAGTGGCTAAAATCATCCGAAAACATCAGATTGCTGCAGTTGTTATTTGTGAAGGACACTTTCCTAACGAAAGTAATAGTAACGACAATTTTTATTTAACAACGAATGCAATGAAGTTTGTTGCAAGTCATAAACATAAAATTGAATTCTATAAATGGAACACATGATAATTAATTCTAAAGTCAGAGTATTCTTAACAATATTTCTAAATTTGAGGTAGTTTAGGCTTTTTGTTTCTGGCTTGGGTTTGTTATAAAGTGAAGGATTCTGTGAATTGCGAATTGCGAGATGCAATTGAGTAAACTAATCAAGTACTGCACCCTACGAATGAGCAGGGAATTTGATGTTTCAAATTTTGGCTTGTTTTAGTTTATTTCTAAACATAACATATTGACAGTAGCTCAGTAAACTGCATTTTTCCAAATATGCTAACAACCTTTCTTCTACAATGAATTCAATTACCTTGCCGAAAATGGGAATATTTCATGAATTAATTCCAATTTATCCGATACACGTGCTAACATGAAGTTAATCGAGGAAGAACCCCTCCAGGAAACATTTATTTATTAGTATAGCCAAGTATGAAATTCGCTGTTTTTTTTTAAATTTAAATTATATACATTACATTTCAATCTACTCATTTGTTTATAGCACTATCAAACTCAACTACATGGGTTAAGAAGCATGAGTGTTGTGTTTGTGATTATTATTATTACAGATTAAGTCCCGCATTTGTTAAAATGGTGTCTATACTTGCAATGGTCTTATCAGCTAAAAATAAAAATTAATTATTAATAGAATTTGCATCCAGATCTATTCGTTTTAGTTAGGATGTTCCCATCCATTCCCAGATTTATTTTTTAAGGAATGTTGTAAGTCTATTTTCTTTCGTTTTGTGGAGTTATTAACGAACCTGTGAAGTGACACTTTGCGCACGCTGCAGATCAATTTAATATTTGGGAGTAGGAAGTAGAAACAATAAGTTAAGTGTTTTGTCATCTGTTTTATTTATAGTTTTCATGAAATGGCCATCTACGACCTGCCTGCGACTTTAAACAAAGTGACTGAAATCACGAAAACCGAGAAGTCTATATATATCGGAATTTCGATGGGTACGACCATAAGTTACATATTTGCTACTAAAAAACCGGATATTGCGGAGAAGAAGTTGACAAGGATAGTTTCTTTGGCGCCGATTGCATATCTAGGAGATATCAAAAGTTTCTTGAAGTATGCTGCCCCTTTTGACTGGTTACTCAAGCGAATTGTAAGCGAAATTATTTTCTAATGGTTTTCACTAAATTATTTGCCAATATAAACACAATGGATAATTGGCTATTTGAAGATGCGGCTAGAAGCCCGTAACTATTTATTATTTCTGCGCTCTATATCTACCAAATACCAAATATGTTTATGCTATTATTGCCATAATGCCCCAGCCACAAGGCGAAATAAAATCAATCTTTACAATTAAAAGTAAGGACTTCCTTATTTTAAATAGAACTGAAAATTATGGATTATGTTTCGTATATAATATCCTATACCTTGTCTTATGGTTTCTGACACATTTTGAATTTTTTGCCAAATATGACGTTTGCGTTTAGCGATTTATCCGACTGAATAGCTTTGTTAATTTTGGCTTACTGGTTTTATAATAACTAAATACAAGGTGGTCAATAACTAACATTAAAAATGTAAATGAAAAAAATCGTTAAAAATATATTCTTTCAAACGGAAACACCTCATATTTATAATATTATCGTATCTTACATTTTAAAAAAGGGCGACTTTCTATAATGTTTGCCTATTTTCAAAAAATCCCTAGATTTCGAAATATTCGCAAAGAAAAAAATGTAATACTGTTAAGGGTGAGCAAATTCATAGACCCGTTAGAAAACCTCAATCCAAATAGTGAGGTTTCTGTTTTTTTTGTGGCAACTTTTTGAAAAACTCATCCTTTTTTTAATTTGCAAAAATCTGCAGCATTTGCTGGTAGTTATGAATGAAACTCTAGTAAGCCACCACTTACAAATCTATTTTTGTTACCAATGCGCGTAATTATTAATCTCGTACCCTTTCTCAAAAATTATCTAAAGCCTGACTGAATATTACTTCCGAATACCGATTGAAGAGCAGAGGGGACAAAATGCAGCAATGACGCACTCGATGTCATCTGTAAATTGGTTTCCCATTTTCACTGTTGCCTTTTGGTTCCAGTACAGGTTTACAATTAGTTGTATGTTCTTGTCGTCCATTCCCGTTGTTTTGAGCATTTTATTACAGCTAATTTATTACAGTTTCTTTTCTTCCTTCACGTCTCTAGTAACAGGTCGTTTATTGGTGACTGTCCAAGTCCAGTCAAAACACATTTCACATTTCAACATTGAAAGTAATACATGTTTTTAGAAGGCCCAGTTTCATTAATCCGTTTCTCAGCAACAAATTCAAAAATACTAGCCATTTTCCAGATCAAACTTTGCCAGCAACTGCCTCTAATTCTAATTTTAACAACTGTGGCACAATTAGATCAACCATCTGTCCCGTAGTATAGAAAATTTTAAAAAACAAATTCTTTTTGTTAAATTGCAGCCGTATTTAATAAACAACCACGGGGAATTCGTACCATTGCTGAAACTAGGCTTTCAAAATTACGTTTGCTCTTACACGCCATTACAAATGTTGAGCTGTGAAATAGCGTTGGACTTCGCATCCGGATTCAACTTCGGAAACATTGATCCCGTAAGTTAATCGAAATTTGTCCACTTGCAAGTGTTTTATTATATTATTTTTCTTGCGTTAGTCTGTGGGACCCTTGATCCCGGGCTTAAATTTTGATAGCACGTCCGTAAGGGTGCCGCTCCATTTTAGCCAAATGATGAAGAGCGGAAGATTTGCGGAATACGATTACGGAAAAAAGAAAAATTTGCGGATTTACGGCACGGAGAAGCCGCCTGTTTATGATTTCAAATCCGTTACGGTTCCAGTTACGTTATTTGCTGGCGCAAAGGACTGGTTGGGAGTAAAGAAGGTTAGTGACGTCACGGATAATTTGTCCTGCAATTTGTATCGATCGAAAGTATCAAGTGTGAATATTTCTTAATAGCAAAATTTGGCACACAATAGACACAAAAAAGAAGATTTTTTGCCAAAATGTTATAATTTGCCGCCTTTAACAATTAGCGTGATGCAATATTCATGTTGACCATAAAGACCACATGATATGAAGCGCTTAAATTTAAAAAAAAGAGGTTTCAGCTGTCAAATTTCCATGAACTAATATAGTTTAAAAAAAAAACATCCAAACAACAAATTCTTTGATCAAATATTTTTGTATTCCAAGTCTAGAAATGAAATTAAATACTGGATGCATGGGCGAGAAAGTAAGTAAAGTAAGTAATAATTATCGTCTGAAAAATAAAAATGAAATGAATAAATGAATAATTATCTCTTTCAGGCGGCTGGCCGGATCTATGGAGAATTAAACCCGGGAGTTCAATGTGGTTTGACTGTTGTACCGGGATATACCCATTTCGATTTTATACGGGCGAAGAACGTAGAAAAATATTTCTTCCCATCCCTAATTAGTTCCATAGACAATGAATGCACTAAATAAAACTATTAAATCAAAATAAGCTATAATAAAACTATCAAACCACAATATGTTTGTTTATTCTATATCGAAAGGAATTACCGTTACTTATACAGGGTATTTCATTAATAATTGGAAATATTTTAACTGTAAGTCCGCGAGCTGTACATTAAGATTTAACCCTTAATCAGTAAAATAAAATGTGTCTTTTGATATTTGGGTGGTATTAAAAGCGCAACTCAATGGTTAGTTTTGAGAACCGCGCAAGTTTTGAAGTCATTCGGAGCAAAAATGGAAAAAATATAAATATAAAAGTGTTTCAAACTTATATGTTATGAGTATTTCGTGACTTTTAAAAACGTTTTTCGCTATACTTGAATGCTTTAAATTCTACATCTACGAGGTTAGCGCCAAAATTTCCCGGCCTGACATAGATGCAGCTCCAGTATCACGATAAAACTTTGTCTTTTTTTAAATATATATCTTAATAGGCTGGGAAAAAAAAATTGAAGTCTTGCGACAAATAGTTTTTTATTGACAGCATTTTAAACAAGACGTGTCTGAAAAAATGTTGCAAATAACGAAAATTGAGTATAGAGCAGTCATAAAGTTTTTGACAGAAGAAGGGTTAGCACCTAAAATTATTACACAAAGGTTGGATGGTGTGTACGGCCAAAGTTCTCCTTCGTATTCTGTAGTGAAAGAATGGGCAAAACGTTTTCGAATGGGGCAGGAGTCCCTTGAAGATGATTCAAGAACTGGTCGACCAGTGGAGGTCATAACGGCAGATATTGTTGCGATTGTGGAAGAGGTGGTATTGAATGATCGATGTTTAAAGGTCAAGGAAATCTCAGAAATTACTAAGCTTTCTGATAACAAGTTTTCGTCGAATCCTGCATGGTCATTTAGGTATGTATAAGGTTAGTGCAAGATGAGTTCCTAAAAACCTTTCGGCTATTCAAAAACAACATCGTGTCGAGTGTGCGCGGTCTTTTTTGGAATTCTGTGGATCGGAACCGAAGCCTGTGATAGAAACTATTGTGACGGGAGATGAAACTATGGTTCTCTATTATGACCCTCTATCGAAAAAAGAATCAATGGAGTGGCGTCGTAAGGGTGAAGCACCTCCAAGAAAATTCAGAGTCTGCCAGCCAACAAAAAAGGTGATGGCCATGATCTTTTGGGATTGTGAAGGAATTCTTTTGACAGATTTTAAAGAAACTAATACCACTGTCAATGGTAAATATTACGCAACATTATTACATAAATTGCGATACTGCATACGTGTAAAACGTCGAGGAAAACTGACCAGAGGCGTGCGTCTTTTGCACGATAATGCACCTGTCCATACTGTACATACATACATACATACATACATACATATATATATATATATATATATATATATATATATATATATATATATATATATATATATATATATATATATATATATATATATATATATATATATACAATAATACAAAAATACATGCAGAAATTGCATCGTGAACCAGGCTCAAGGTTTTCTTTTTAAATTAGATCAATTAGAAATAATTTTAAAAAATTACAAAAAAAAATATTCGCTCGATCAAATCATGAAGGGATTGATCGTTTAACTTAAGTAATCTTTAACTATTTTCTCATAGGGCATACATAATTGCGTTGCCCCTATACCCTAGTTTTGCAACATGCTATATAAATTATTCAATATTATTAACAGGAAATAATAATCATACGATTTGCTTAAGTAGTATAAAATTATATTTTAAAAAAATACCATTGTTAACTGAAACCATCTCCTAGCCATTCCGCCAAAGCAAGTGTTCTGACTGCAGGAATTAAGCATTGTTATTAAATATCTATTCGAATTTTGTAATTCCGACTCTGTTAACATTCTTCTTAAATATTATGGCCATATTTTCGCTCTAACCTCAAAATGACCTTCGTTAAAATGTCAACGTTAAAAGAGGTGTCTATAATTTAATATTTTATTTTTTATTAAGGTGTCATTTTTATTTGTAAGTATATTTTACAATTTTCCAACTATACTTTCTTTTATAGTTTATATGAATATTTCTTGGCATTTATGTGATATACTTAATACCTTGTTTACAGCGTTTTTATGTCAGTTTTTAGGATCTATTTTTAGGAAAACGAAAAAATTTTGTGATAAGAAATTTTTTGTGTATTTAGGTCCTCGCGCCTATATTAATATTTCTAGTCGAACCGGTAAGTTGCTTGAATAAGATATTTAAGGTAATTGTTATAAATAATATGTAGCTTTCCCATTACATACACCAGTTTTTATATCTCCCTTATTTTAGTTTTGATTATTTTCCAGAAAAGTATTTTTTTCAGTATCATTATAAGACCAAAATGAGAGTTGTAGCACTCATTAGTGGAGGAAAAGATAGCACATTTAACATGATGCAGTGTATAGCATGCGGTCATGAAATTGTAGCTCTTGCAAACTTAGTTCCTCACAGTAAATCTGAGATAGACAGTTATATGTATCAAAGTGTTGGTAAGATACAATTTTTCTTCACAGTAGACAATTCAAAATTTGTTCTTACAACCTATTCTTGCATATGTTAAACAGGCCATGAAGCCATAGATTTAATAGCCCAAGCTTTAGACTTGCCATTGTTCAAAAAAGACACTTATGGTATTTCCAAACAACGAGAAAAGACCTATGAGTACTGTGATAATGATGAAGTTGAAGATTTATATAAATTACTTAAAGAAATCAAGAACGAATTAAACTTTGATGCTGTATCAGTAGGAGCGATATTAAGTGATTATCAACGGCTTAGGGTTGAAAATGTGTAAGTTACTTCTTACATTTCTCATGCTGCAGTAAAGCGAATTGTCAATATTGTTAATAGGTGCATTCGTTTGGGTTTAACACCCTTGGCATATTTGTGGCAAAGAAATCAAAAAGAGTTGTTGGATGAAATGATAAAATGCGAAGTAGATGCCATAGTTATCAAAGTTGCAGCACTCGGATTAGAGCCTATAAAGCACTTGGGTCGTACATTGAGCTCAATGCAGCCTCATTTGTTGACCATGCATGAGAAATATGGTTTAAATGTTTGCGGTGAAGGAGGAGAGTACGAAACTTTAACTTTGGATTGCCCTCTTTTTAAAAGTAGATTATTAGTGTAGGTATTGATATGTATTAGTCGTTTATTATAGATTTGTCATCTAAGTATTAATCTTCGTCCAGTTGACAATGACAACATATGTTGGTGTTATCGTAGAGAAGATTCAGATATAGTGATGCATTCAGATGATCCAGTAGCACCTGTAGGTTATCTAAGGCTGAATAAACTTAGTCTAGAAATTAAATTGCCTCCTTTAAATTTACATAGTCGTTTGGAAGGCTTACCTCTAAAGAACTATGATGAATATGTTACCGATTTGGATGATGAACAATTTGAAAATAGTGATAATGATGCAGGTAAGTAAAGGCAATTCAAATTTATGCAGCAGTATCTATAAATTCTTATAAATATTCCACCAAACAGAACAAAAATGTATAATTACATTTACTAGATTTGGAACCTAATGATGAAATACCACTAAATGAGCCATTTTATCAACTACAGTCAACTTTAAGCCAAAAACCCACTTCAGCTATTAGTAAGGAGGGTTGGCTTTGGATTGGGGGCATCCAAGGAAGTTCTATGGATTCATGTGAAGCAATGCGAGATACGCTTAGTAAACTAAAGAGTAGGTATGAATGGGAATATTTTCCATTTTTCATTTCTAATAATAATATAGTGCTATAATTTTCATATATAGTAGAAAGCAGAGACATTAATCAGGGAAGAAAATTTTGAAAACCAACATTCAAATTCCATTGTATTTTTCCAGATATACTGGCACAGCACAACCACACAGTTAAAGATGTGTGCGCCATAACACTTTTTATTAATGAAATGTCCCAATTTTCAAAAATTAACGAACTCTACATTGACACCTTCAACCATATAAATCCCCCAACAAGGGCATGTGTCCAAGTTCCTTCAAAAGTTCCAGTAATTTTGGAGGCACTTTCTTTTAAAGCTAACAGTTGTGAAGGTGATGTTGAAAGGTTAAAATGTAAAATTTATCTGTTAGTAATTCAATAAAGTAGATCATTTTAGGCACACGGTGCATGTACAAAGTATATCTCATTGGGCTCCCAGTAGCATCGGTCCATACAGCCAATCAGTTCAAATTGGGATGTTCATATACCTAGCTGGTCAGATTGGCTTGATACCTAGTAATATGCGATTGGTCAGTGGTGGAATTAAAGCTCAGTGTCAATTAGTCCTTAGGCACGTTCGTAGATTACTTAGAGCTACTTCTGCCAATGTTAATCTTAGAGATGTAGTCCAGGTAACTCAGTTTTTTCCAAAAATAGTTCCGGAAAAACCTAGCTAGATATACATTAAGCAGATCATCCTTTAGATATTTAAAAACGTGGATATATTTTAGAGTATTTGTTACGTAACTCACAGTTCCTACATTGAGCCTGCCAGAAAGCTTTGGGAAGCAAAAACTAATAACGCAATTGTTGATTATGTAGTTGTATCAGCGCTGCCTAGGAATGCATTAGTTGAGTGGCATGTATGGGCTCACAAGCAAAACAATCAATTTGAGTGTAAGTGTTACTTTCATTCCATTATTATGTCTGCCACATTTTCACCTCTTACACTGAGGATATTTTTACTTTCTATCCACCATTAAATAAATTTTGAAAGATTTTATCTGTAAATGTAATGCTTGCTTAATTCATGTAGAACTTTATAGTGTGTGTATTATTCCCCTGCTTGTAATGAATATCCATTTCTTCCAGACGAAGAGCGAGGAAAACGCTTAGATAATTATTCCATTTCTTTATACAGAAGAGTAAACTATGAAAATAACGTTGCCGCTATTGTTTGTCGTGTGGAGGGCACTGTACCAATTGAAAAGTTTGATGGCAAAATATTTTTCGAGGCTTTAACTTATTCATTAGAAAAACTCCAACAAGGTCATGAAAACGATGCATCTTCTGTCTACAATATCAAAATATTTTTCAGAGTGACCACTGTGGTGGACATGGAGGAGTTAGTTAAAATAGTTGAAAGTGTCACGAATAAATTTATTTTGGTCTATACTCTTGTACCTGTTCTGGGTTTAAAAAATGATCATACTTTTATGTCAATATGTGGAGTAAGAAACCAGTAACTTGTATGAAGTGTTTTTAAAACTATTTGCTTTATTTTAATAAAAGTATTTTATATGAATAAAAATTTAGATTGTTGTCCAACGTCACATAGCCAAACCGATTACACATCATTTCACACACATCAAAAATTCTATGCATTTATTTGTATCACGTAAGGTTTATTTGCAAATATTAAAGGAAAAAAACGATATTTCTGAAAAAAAATATTTTTTTATTCAGTAAACATGTGGAATCCTAATTAAGGTAAATCAGGAATATTGTTGCAATACACTAGCGGTCCTTCCTGTGCAAAATATTGCCATAACTCTTTTTCGCGATCGCGGTAAAAGCTTGATGTGACGCCAAATCTGGGTCGAAATATGACGTTTTCTAGTTCTTTTGGGGCGGTGACTAGTCGAATGGCACAATCGCTATTGGGATATACCATTTGTTTCTTATTTTTTTCTGTTAAATCCTCGATCATTACACGAACAAAAATAATAATAAATAATCGTCACTGTGATTCCTAGGCTCGCGCCATTCCATAGGAACACCAAAGCTTAAACATTTCTTCCTACCTTTTTTCCAGTTTCTTAATGCTTCAACGCAATCGGAACAAACAGTATGAGGACTTGTCTTGGTTGCCAATTTTTACACCAAAATAAGCGTGGTATATATTTTTCACAAAAAAAGTTATAGTTAGCCTTTGCTTTACTACAACATGACTACCACGCATATGACAAAAGTTATTTGGATTGTTCACACAAGGTCTTCTTTCCATATTTATACGTTCTAGAACACTAGAAATACGCAAGAACGAAGACAACAGGCGCGAACACAGTAGCACGACGACCAATACGACCAAACTTCGCATAAGCAAGTTACAACGCTGTATTGACGCTTCTGCGCGTACTCTGTTGCTTTGTAGAGAAATCTGCAGTATGCCAAGTCACATTTCATTTCACATAAATAAGTCATGCCTAACAAGGAACAAACATATTCATGTCATAGATATGCATATAAATTAAATAAAATTTTTAAGATATAGAGCGCTATAAAAAAAATAACGTGATAGAGCAAAAAGTATGGCTTTTTTTGGAAAAGGGGCCCCCAAAAATATACAAATAAGGATATAGCTTTCAAACATCAAAATCGCTGTAGACATGTGTCATTATTACAGGTATAAGTAAAAACAGTAATTTGCAATATTGTAAAATAATGAATTCATATTGCCTTGTTGCGTTGGCTCTTTTCTCTGCTGCTTCGCACGCAACAACATAACTGTCATGGTTTTATTTAGATGGATTTATTATAGAAAACTCGGTCTAACCGAGCCCCATCTGCCAAATTTTAAGTGGATATTAAATTAAATAAATTTGGTAATAGTGAGAAAATTTTTATTTTGAATTTCTAAAACAATCATTTTATTGTATAATAAAATAGTTTAAATAAAAGATAACCTGAAGTCACATGATAACGGTTTTAATTATACTTTACATGAAAATCATCAAACGCCATAGGGTCTGACTTATATATGTACATATTTGATATATCTTATATACAATTAAAAAAACTATAAATAAATAAAACAGACGTGGCTTCAGATTGAACATACATATAATCATAGTTCTTCAAATCGACATAAGAATATTTGTTTATTATTGCATTTTCCAAACCATTTTTATGTCGATTTCCTCTGCGGATTTAAAAATATAAAAACAACTACGAGATTGCACCCATACACTTTATAATTTTTTTCGTCTATTCCACCCTAGGAATAAAATAATTTCTAATCTGCGATACCCTCTTCCAGAGACGTTGTTAGAAAGATCGGGTATTCTTTAAACACCGTCTCCGCCGCGAACTGTACAAAAGTTAAAGTTCATAACTGAAATAAATCATGAGATTTGGAAAGTGATCTAACACTTATATAATTTTTTCTTTTAAATAGGTATGTTACTAAGGTAAAATTTTATCAGGGAAGTAATTATGGAAGACGTAATAATTTGCACGAATTATTGTGCATAACCTTTTTCTTTTTAATCCCTCGGCAGTTCGTGCCAATACACCAAAATATTTAATCCACAAAAATTTCTTGTGGATATAACCAATTGTGTTATGTGAAAACAAAATTAAGGAAGAAACATAAATATTTTTTGTTTCATTATATATTACGGCATTTGCGAAAGAACAAATTATCTTTATAACAAATAAAATTCTTTTTTTTTTTAAGCACACCCATTTTCACAGAAAAATTAGCTCATAATGTGTGAGCGAATTATGTTACCGTCAGTCAGCAGCACATATGAAAGACGTAACTAAAATCTTTTTGAACGGTGCAAACCCTTAAATATTCCATAATTTTATCTCTGAATGTTATTTTCGTGAGCATTCGTTTACTGAAATGTGTATTATTAAATTGATTATGTACATATTATGAAGTTTTGTAGCATAGCTAATGATTAAAACAGTTCAGGAACATTTGAAATGTTTTTTAACCCATTTCGCACTTGCAATCAAATTGGTTAATACAAATTTTATTCGGAATACTCCATACATGAGCATATTTATGAAGTGAACTCTTCCCTGTATATAATTAAGTATTTGACAATTATAGTTGAATGTAGTGGGCATGTTACTTGAAGACAAACGCTTATGAAAATTGTTAGGAATGTAAGAAACATTGTTTAAACAAATATTTCAAAAGGCCACTTGCACCTTTACCATTAGTCCAAGTCTGTGATTTATAACTAAATTTTAATGTTTAGGGTACCACCTTTAAGATTTCTTCATCGAGTGATACTCGAGTGATACTGCCCATTTGTAGCATATTGCGAAGTTAAAATATGAAGGATATTCGTAAACACATATTGTCTGACAGTTGTCGCCATCTTGAACTTATTATGCAGTAAAATAGAATTTTAAAATCTAGTCGATTTTGTGATGGTATAATTCTTGGTTGATTGCAAAATAAGCTCACATACATCCTCGCATTCGGAATGTCATTACTTTATGGTGTTTTAATAAACTTAAAAGCTCCACTTAAAAAACTAAATACACAACTAAAACTACCATGATATTAATTTCTTTATATTAATTGCCTCTGCGACTTTAAGTTTTTTGCCTGCGGTAAATTTATTCTAAACACATTTATTGGAATCTACCATTTATTTCTTCCCTCTATGATTTTGTAAAACTTCAGCGAGCGACAAAGTTTTGAGGTAAAAACCTATTTGTGACTTCAAAACTTTATATACCTAGCGACGGCATATTAATCATTTAATTTTATACAGATCCCAATCAATTTTTGAAAGAGTTCTCGATCCCTCCTGAATTCAATTATTCTCCCAATAATGACAACACAATAAAAAGTTAAATAAACCAAATTAATAATAATAAAATTCGTACAAAAAGAAATCTTTTCAATACGCGTTTTCCAAAAAATCTATATATTTTGTGATGTATCACGTTCAAGTGTTCGTAACGGTCACAAAAAAAACTTACAAATTTTCGTGAATATCTGTCTTACTACATAGTCAAAAAATTCACAGCTACAATTAATTTATTAACAGTATTATGACTAGAAAAGTATAAGATATAAGACGAGAGTTTTACAAAAGTGCACGAAGTAAAACAAGGTAATTATTGGCACATCGAAAATCGGTGTAGGAATATAATAACATTTCAAAATGGATTCCACCCTATTTGTCGATTTTAATAAAACTTAGAGATATAGGCATAACATGTTCTCACGCTCTTCGCAGCACATTACTTTTGGCTTTCCACGGCGGTTAATGTAAGTCTCATTTTCTCTTTCTCTTAATTTTTGTAATCCTTAAAAAAGGCTACCTTACGTAGACTTAACCCAAACGGCGGGCACCCACTGCGGTTCCCTCTCCAGACTGTTGATTTCGCACAACAAATCGTGGTACGCTCTTTCGGTGTCGTTATTAATGATGATCATATCGAAAAAATGGCCGTATTTTTTTTCCATTTCCCTTGCTTTTTCGATTATGTCAACTAGATCTTCTTCCTAAAATAACACAGTTACAAATATAAATGTCTTAAGACAAGAAAAAAGTGCAACAAAACAAACTAATCAACTGAATGAATTTTCCATAAAGATGGAAGGGATTGCCATTATATTATTTATTTTAGTACTAAACGATTCATTTGACTTTTTTTAATTTATTAATTGAACCGCAGCCTTGGCGTTGTATATTTTAGGGAACTGTAAATCTTAAAACTTGATTTTTAGGTTAGGGACCAATTGTTGAATTGACTTTTTCCTGAAATAGTGGACGCGTCAACAAGCCCAGAATTGATAAGTAGTTAATTCATTATATTTTTGAATGCTACATACCATATCAGGAACCCAATTTAATTAATACCACTCCCTCCCAATTATTCCAATTTATTTATTTGATTATGAAAGGTGAAGCACATGAATGACGTATATCTCCCGTAACATAACAATAATGTTTGTTGGGGTTAATATCCTCGTATCTTGTACCGTTGACTTGTATAGAGTAATTTAACAAAAATCATTGTCTTGGTCTTTGCCTTGAGAGTAAAACGTTAAAATTAAAAGAAGAAAACGAAACAGTTTGCATTCTTAGGCCGCTTTCACACACACCGGTGAAGTCGATGCCGGTATTGTACGACCAAAAATATAGTGCTTTGACGTTTTAAGTATTTTACAGTACCTCAACCGCAGACCTTCGCAAATGTTAATTCTGCATTAAGTAGGTGTTGCCTGAGATGGACCGTAATGAATATTTGGTGAAACTTGAAATTTTTATTTGAAACGTAAATGGACTGTTTTAAATTTGATTAAGCATTGATGCTGGGGGGTATTTTCGAATAAGTAGAACCATTTATTTTAACATCAGGTGATATGTATCGTTATTAAGAGTTTATTCTAAATTGCAATATCCTTCCAGTAAGTACGTATTTATGTACCTGATCCTCGAGCTTTAACCCTGCGAGGCTGTTTTCACTGGATAGTTCAAAGGGTAAGGGTAAGTACCTGTACTCTATTATTACAGGTAAGTTTGAAAATATTCATTTTTGTCTTGTGTGCCTCTCGATTAACAATATTCTTCTTGTATTTTTCTATCTTCTACATAGTTTTTCACGCAGTAGATAAAGGTACGTCATAAAAATACCGATAGATAATTATAAAACTAAATAATTAATAAGTAGAAGTAGGAGCAGGAATAACAACAAGGGACATAGAACGTAATATTTTTTTTACTTTGTACTAATTTTTATAAGTATATGTTACAAGAATTGCTCTGCGAAAAAGATTGAACACATACTTATATCTCGCTTATTAGTGTGGGTAGATAAATTCCTAGGACGGTCCTGGAATGGTTACGGGTAAGGGTCTGTTCGGCAGGGTGTTCTATAACGGGCTGCGGTTTTGGAGTTATAAACAGTGGGTTGTACAAGCACTATAATTCTGGTCGATGTATACCGGCGCCATCGCTGGTTCCAATACGTGTAAAAAATCAATATTTAAGGACAACACTCCCTTCGGCTATAATCGAGACTATAATTTTATAATTATAATCTTTGATTTTCATCTATGTTAACCCATTTTGTTCCAGTGGTGCGTTAATGCACCACCTATTTATAATTTTTTTGTCACATCCAGGAAATATTTTTGCACATCCATTTAGAAATTTTATTATTATCACTAGTAAAGGACATAAAACCGTAGAAATCGCTAATTTATGTGTAAAGGAAAAATCTTATATATGACTTCAAAAGTTAACAAAAGCAGTACATAAATTTGTATCACATTTTAAAGTAAATCCAAAATATTAAAAAAATATATTTTGGATTTGTATTGCCATTTTTGTTAACCCTATAGCATGTAGATTACATCGCAGAAAACATACATTGAGAATACTATATCGATTATGCTTTATTTTTTGAAAATATTTCCTGGTGCATGAATGCACCACTGGTTTTATCTGTGAAACAAAACTTTGTTAATGGAAGTCTAGACCAGTCAGCGCATGTAGAATAAACATCCAACAATTAGCGTGTTCTTTAGTATTAGTTTGTGCCTTGTGCAGTGAACGTTACAGTTCGTAAAATATGGCATTTCCGAGGTATTTGACTCAAAAGCAATTAGAGGCGGCTGTGGAGGAGATCGTGATGGATGAGGACAGTAACAGTGAAAGTCGCAAGTATTATTATTTACGTATTCTTATGTATGGTAGCATTCCATTCCTTGTAAATTTATGCTAAAAATATCCACCCGACGTGGATACTTTGACTGGGAAAAAGATATGAACGATAACATAAATCTACAAGAGTTTAGGGAACCAACTGATATAGTTGGAAATTTCGAGTTACATACGCCGAATGATACAGCTGTCCTTCAACAGTCCTGTAATTCATCAACTACTGAACCTGAATGGGACTCATCAGAGGATGAAACCCCGGAATTCAAAAGAAGAATGGAAGAATGGTCAGATTGGGTACACTCACACACCTATATCTGATGAATTTAGATCATGTAAGGAACTAAAAACTAGGCTCTCTGGAAAAACTCCGCTTGAAATATTTTTTATATTTTTTGATGACGATTTAATTTTAAATCTTACATTGCTTTGCGACTTTTAAAAACTGATAAAACAAATCTTGCACCTGCTATAGATGAAGTGCGTTATGATAATCAAAGTCACCTAACGATTGTTCATGCTAATAAAGCCCGAAGGAGATGTAGAATCTGCCACAGCCACAAAATTTACGTTTATAATAAATATAATGTGCATTTATATTATATATATATATATATATATATATATATATATATATATATATATATATATATATATATATATATATATATATACAGGGTTTTTCACTTAAAACTCCGCACGCCAATAAGTCCAAAATGAAAAGAAATATTTAATTTATGTAAAAAGTAGTCAAAGTGTGGGGTCAAGTAGATATTTCCTAAAGTTTAAAAAACTCGACGCCTGCAAAGAGCTGGGCGTCGCGACGCGTCGAAAAATTATTCGATTGCAGAGACTTTGGAAATACGCGCATACAAAAGTACATATTATTTAAAAACTTTTTTGTTATTTACTCAAACTTATTTACTTTACCCGTTTCTAAGTTATACCGATTTAAAGTAAACATTTCTTGATTAATAAAAAATGTGATTAACGCTTATTTTTACAAGTATGCCATGAATGTTAGTTACTATGGCAACCATTGTTATCGCAGTTGTTTTAAGTGCAATTACAAACAATAGATTTCAACTATTTTAGTATGATTTTATTTATTATTTTTTATCGATTTAGTTCTGATAACATGATAAATAAATGAAAAAACAGTAAAATACCTACAAGTTAATAACCAAAATTATTATTGCAATTAACTACATAATAAGACATTTCAAAAATTTTGTTCAAAATTGTGTCCATCTGCTCGAACACAACTATCAAAAACTTTTAACAGATGAGCTTGGGTCACTTGTAGGAGAGTCCTTCTTGTGATAGCGGCACACGCTGCACTAATTTTGTTAATGAGATCAGCCATATCTTAGATAGGTTCTTCATAGATAACGTTTTTTAGGTAGCCCCAAAGAAAATAATCTGGTGGTGTAATGTCCGGGGACCTCGGCGGCCACCTTACCGGTCCATTAGTACCAAACCATCTATTGGGATATTCTCGGTTCAAATACCTCGTTACTATTTGGGCATTATGTGCAGGCGCTCCGTCCTGCTGTAGCCACATATTCATTCTAGTGTCAAGAAGCACTTCTTCTAATAGTTCCGGAAGTGTAGTTTGAAGAAATCTTAAATAGCGATCTGCATTTAAAGTTCCTTCGTAAAAATAAGGTCCAATAAGGAATCCATTTAATATGCCGCACCAAACATTGATACTAAAAATTCGTTGGTTACCTCTTTCTGTAATCCAACGAGGATGGTTTTCGAACCAAAAACGACAGTTGTGTCTATTAACGATTCCATTATTTTGAAATTGACTTTCGTCGCTCCATAAAATTTTCGAGAGAAAATTTGCATCTTGGCTATATAAATCGGACAATGTCGCTAAGAAATACATTCTTCTAGCATAATCGCCTGGTTCTAGTTTATGAACTAGTTTACTTTTGTACGGGTGAAAAGAGTTTCTATGTAGAATTCTCCACGAAGAAATTATGGTAACACCGGTATTTTCTTTTATCTCTGATAGGGATATCTTGGGGTTATTATCAACCTGCTGAATTACAGCAGCAGTATTTTCATCATTTGTAGCCGCCCTGTTCCTATCTCTTTTAGGTTTCATGAAGCTGCCATATTCTCTTAAGTTTTTACATAAACTTGAAAAGGTTTTTGCATCGGGGACTCTTCTATGCGGATAACGCCGTGCGTAAACTCTTTTTGCTTCTCTACAATTGCATCTGCATTCTCCAAACACCAGTAACATGTCTACTTTTTCGTCATTGCTAAATTGCACCATTTTCACATAATAATTCTTAGTTTTTTTTTAACCGAACAAATTTGGATATTTCTTGTGACAAAATGTGACAATTTTTTGATACAGCAATAACAACTTACGTTTGTAATTGCACTTAAAACAACTGCGATAACAATGGTTGCCATAGTAACTAACGTTGATGGCATACTTGTAAAAATAAGCGTTAATCACATTTTTTTTAATCAAGAAATGTTTACTTTAAATCGGTATAACTTAGAAACGGGTAAAGTAAATAAGTTTGAGTAAATAACAAAAAAGTTTTTAAATAATATGTACTTTTGTATGTGCGTATTTCCAAAGTCTCTGCAATCGAATAATTTTTCGATGCGTCGCGACGCCCAGCTCTTTGCAGGCGTCGAATATTTTGAACTTTGGGAAATATCTACTTGACCCCACACTTTGACTACTTTTTACATAAATTAAATATTTCTTTTCGTTTTGGACGTATTGGCGTGCGGAGTAAGTGAAAAACCCTGTATATATATATATATATATATATATATATATATATATATATATATATATATATATATATATTATATTCCTTTCTTAGGTACAACGACGAACGAAAATATATTGTCTGTTGAAAACGTACACCTTTTTTCTACCGCGTAAAATTATTTTATGTAAACGGCACCGTCAACACCGGAATGTGTGAAATCATCAAACTTACGGGCACGGTGCTTATTTTGTAAATAGGATACCGAAATTTTGATCTATATTAACTATTGGGTCATATTGAAAATGAAAAGTAAATATCAGTTTTAAATTTTTATGGATATCTTTTTTTGTGCGAGATTATCAAGAAAATCTTCACATATCCACCTTTTCAAAGTTTCAGTCAAAGAGTGTCGATGAACTGCGTACATTTTTTTGAACGTAATTATGAATTATGATTTTGAAAAATAAAATTAAGAATTTGTAATAGCTCACCTTGTACGTTTCGCCTAACCTATCCTTTTTAATTTTCATATTTTCAAGGTTGGGTGGTGCAACGAATACGACGTACGGTTTCAAATCCGAAGTCCTCAGTATTTTTAGACTCTGCGGGTGCAAATTTAATAGGCAAATTTTTCCCGAATTCACTACCGATCTAATGGCATCGAGCGACGTTCCGTAATAAGCCTTTTCATATTCTCCGTGTTCTACGAACTTTCTCGAAAGTATGTCCGCTTCAAACTGCGCGCGGGTTATGAAATGGTAATCTTGTCCGTCAACTTCATTTTCCTTTCTTGCCCTGGACGTGTCTGAAGTGAAATTAAATGATTTTTAGCTAAATGCAAAGAGTTATTTATATCAACGTACGAGGAACTGCAGCTGCAAATCTTTCCGAATTTTCCATCAGTCGCTGTCGAAGTTCGTGCCGCCCGATGTCCGGTGGACCTATCAGTACTATCGGCCTCTTCTTATCAGCCCTAGGATAATACAACGAAACTTCTTCGTAGGTGAGGATTTCGTCAGCGTCCATCTCGTCATTGGCATACATCGTGTAACCACCTAGACGTAAATCGCATCATAAAACTCTAATTCGTTATATCCAAAACATATTTTATTTTCCTCTATGGTCTAAAAAGGTGACACAACCACACATATAACGCCTAAGCTTCAATTCCAATCAAAAAGATTTAAAAATCGAAATAAAAGATATAGCATTTTGGTTTTAAGTATATGACCATCTCTTTGTTACATTTATTACAGTCATTTATATTTGGAATATTATCAGACAGTACTTCATAGGATTTTAGAACCTTGTAGTGAGGCCCCTTTTGAAAAAAAGTAGCGCTATGAACTGGAATCAACAGGCTTTCTCTGTTCCTATTTTCGTATAGTTTCTTTGAAATAAATGAAGATTTTTTTAAACACGTGTAACCCACGAAAGATGGAACAAAGAAGTAGCTGTTAGTATTGCAAGTTTAGTACTTCATAGGAGTTTAGAGGTTTGTAGTGAGGTCCACTTTCAAAAAAGGTGGAGCTATGAATTGGAATCAACAGGCTTTCTCTTTTTCTAGTATGAATGTGCATATTTTCATATAGTTTCTCTAATATAAATAAAGATTTTTTTTACAAATGTAACCCATGAATGATAGTATAAAGAAGTAGCTGTTAGTACTGCAAGTTTAGTACTTTATAAGATTTTAGAGGCTTTTAGCGAGGTCTATTTAAAAAAAGTGGAGCTATGAGCTGGAATCAGCAGGTTTTCTCTGTTTCTAGTATTTATATGCATATTTTCATATAAACTATAGTTTCTTTGAAATAAATGAAGTTTTTTAACAAATGTAGCCCATGATATATAGTATAAAGAAGTAGCTGTTAGTATTGCAAGTTTAGTAATTCTTAGGATTTTAGAGGTTTGTAGTGAGGTCCACTTTCAAAAAAAGTGGAACTATGAATTGAAATCAACAGGCTTTCTGTTTTTCTAGTATGAATGTGCATATTTTCATATAGTTGCTTTAAAATAAATAGATTTTTTTTACAAATGTAACCCATGAAAGATAGTATAAGGAAGTAGCTGTTAGTACTGCAAGTTTAGTACTTTATAAAATTTTAGAGGTTTTTAGTGAGGTCTATTTAAAAAAAAGTGGAGCTATGAGCTGGAATCAGCAGGTTTTCTCTGTTTCTAGTATTTATGTGCATATTTTCATATAAACTATAGTTTCTTTGAAATAAATGAAGAAATATAGTATAAAGAAGTAGCTGTTAGTATTGCAAGATTAGTACTTCATAGGATTTTAGAGGTTTGTAGTGAGGTCAATTTTCAAAAAAAATGGAACTGGAATCTACAGGCTTTCTCTGTTTCTAGTATTATATATATAGTACTATATTTCATATAGACTGAAATAAATGAAGATTTTTTTTTACAAATGTAACCCATGAAAGAAAGATTCTGGAAGTTTAGTACTTTATAGGATTTTAGACGTTTGTAGTTAGGTCCGTTTGCAAAGAAAGCGGAGCTACGAGCTAGAATCGGCAGGTTTTCTCTGTTTCTAGTATTTATGTATATATTTATTATATAAACTATAGTTTTTTTGTAATAAATGTTGATTTTTTAAACAAATGTAAGCAATAAAACATAGTATAAAGAAGTAGCTGTTAGTACAGCAAGCTTTTTAATATAAGGCACGTTGTAAATGCATCTAATAGTGGGTTTTTGCAAAACGATAACTAATTAAAGACTGCACAATTGCATTGTCTACTGTTCATAGTTTCATGAGGTAGGTTATACCTCGACCTTCAACTTCAGCACGAGTGCTATTTAATTTCGATACGAGCCGTTCAGTTGCTTTTTCCCAGATTAGGGCTTGATCTAGCTGGACTCCCAAAAAATTCCCATTTTCCTTCTCGGTCATTACCTTTTAAGTTTTGAAAAAAAAAACAGCCCAGTTATCTCAGAATTTAGCCCTAGGTTATGCTTTTCACTCCATTCACTCATCTAACAGCTCTAGAGGATGGATATCCTGGGCAACTTGCCACCAGAATGTCCCCCTAAATTGACAAATAATTCAAGCCATCAAAACAGGAAAGACCAAGCGCTCAACCCTGCTGTACTTACCTTCGTCATACCCGCCTTTTTTCTTTTTCTTTTTCGCCGTAGTTCCACACAAAAGTGTCGCCGTCGCCTTCTTCTGTGGTTTGGCCATCCGCTCTTCTGCGGCGAGTCGCATGCTCTCCCTTTGGTGTTGGAAAGTCAATGAAGGTATTAGACCGGCCAAAGTTTGATCCTCCTCCCCTTCTCTGTAAGCTTGCCACCTGCGCAGGAATTTGCATAGAAAATATTAGACAAAGGAAGGGAATATCTAAGTGGTCTAAATTTGTTGAGTAGGATTAGCAGAGATATCAATGCGTAATGGGTAATCAAGAATGAGAGCGCGTGATAATTTGAATTTAGCGTTCGACAATAAAAGACCTAGATGGACTGCAATATTGATGAACGATTTTACCACGCACATAATAACTTGTAAGTATATAAGGAAAGTCGGTAATCACAATATGCTAGAAACGAGAGAAACGAGCATTTTTACGCGTTCTCTAGAACTAATTTCTGTACAATTATCTAATTTAGGTTTCATATTGAAATACTGTTTTCTTTAAACAAATTGTTTATTGACTAATTTTATAATAGTCGTTAATTTTCGTGTTTATATTTTGCTACAGTTTTTTAAACAAATTGTCAATTGGCACTTTTTTGAATTTGGAAGGCGAAACATTGATCTGCAATTACTACTTACCATTTAGATTTTGCCTGTGCGATATCTAGTATCTCATAAAATAATATTTAGGGTTTTAAGAGTCGTCTTTCGTGATGTAAAATTTATTTAATTTTCAAAGAGGTTATCTATCTATAAGTTTATCAAACCAAACGTTTTGCCCCCATTTACACGCACAAATTCGGGAAAAAATAGCTGGTAATTTAATATGCCAAATTTCTTGCAATCTGATGGTAGACACATTGCAATATTTACATGAAAAAATACATGTAGCAATTAGCAGTTAGGTAAGCGAAATTAACAGTAAAATGTAACCATTAACCATATTTCATATCCTAATAATAAAAAAAAAACCACCCTATACAGACTGTCTAAAAATTTATTCTAACGTAAAAAGAAATTTAAGTGGCTATGACTTGATTGGTTGTAACCATACACGCTTTGACTTCTTTTGTGAGCGTTACAAGTTATAGGATCTATATCTCCCATTACGAAAACTAACTAATCAAAACTAAAGAAAGGTCTAAAAAAGACTTGTATTTTGATGGCACTCAATGATGTCAATTTTTATTTTTACTAAACGACACGGCAAAGAAATTATCTGAAATTTTTACACATCATAAGCAGCTAGATGTAATAAAACTTTTATTTACAAAACACCTTGGAAAACTCCAAATTGTGCCAAAATCCTTAATTTCCCGTATTTAGCGAAAACGTGAAGAGTTAGCATTAGTTAAAGTTAAAGATCCTACAACACCATTCGGTAACAGTCCCACAAAATTTGGCGTTAATGTAATGAAGTTAGAGCCACTTACTTATTTTTCAAATTATATAAAAATCCTATAAAAATAAATATAATATATAATATAAATAAATATTTGCTGACAAATTATATTTACTTTAAATATATTATATATCAACGCAACCTCAAATGTCATCAATTGTTATATATATCACTTATACAAAATAATAATATTTTGAAAAAGATCAAAATTACGATCGAAACGTTAATCTAAATTTAAAGAAACTATGTTATTTGTTTTCGAGAGACCGAATACCCAAGAGAATTTATATATATAGAGACCCCATATACAGTTGTGAAAAAAAGAATGGAATCTTTTATTAACCTTTATATTTTTTATAGAAATTTGAATTTCCATGCTTGTATCGCCGTTAAAAAACAATAGTTTTAATAATTTTTAGTATTTCCTGCGGAAATGTTGGAAAAGTTGGTTCATGTTATGCCTAGAATATGCTCGCTGCTGCTGCAAAATATCAAAAATAATAAATCATATTTTGTAAAATATTTTTCTATAGAATAATACAAATTTGCATTCCTATTTGCAGCTTTAAAATTTAAACATGTGAATCTAAACAAGAATAATTATTTATCAAATGACCAAATATCGTTTTAGAAAACCGCTGTACCTGTCAAAAGTAAAACTTTTTAGAGACTTTGTATTTTCGACCCAATAAACCGCAAGTATGTAATCGTATTCTTATATATCTTATATATGACACTAAGAGTACTAAAAACAATTTCCCTTCAACAAAGATCTTTCACAACAGAATTTACTATTACTATCAAAACTTCTCAAGTATTGTGTAGATCCATTATTTTGGCGCTAGTTTGCAGATTTAATTTTGTACGATTGTAGCAAAAACAAGCTTTAAATTCAATCAAGTTTCTTGGAAATTATTTTAATTATCACTCACCAATTGGTATCTTCCTGGCTGATAATGTGCAGCACGTCGCCTTTCCTAAAACTAATTCCGAGTTCTCTACATGGAATGTACATATCGTCTTCGGGGTCGTAATCGAATAATGCCCGAATATGAAGGACCATGTCCCTTGACATGTGAGCCCTAAAAAACGCCATATAACTAACCTGATTGATATCACTGCAATGAAATCCTCCTTCAAAAAAATTATGTTATAAATATGAAGATTTTAATGTTCTGAATATGTTCCCGTTGGACGATATTTTCTATCACGTCTAGATTTTTCAATATATATTTTTTTAATATCATAAATTTAGGTTTTTTGAATTCATTTTATGCGTTAACGTCATAAACAATGTATATACATGCAAAACAGGTTTGAGCGAGTTGTAAGATAAGAAGGAAAGTACTGAATATGATTTTTTATGGCACTACATATGCGCTTGCACAGTATTCACTGTGACTTTACAAACCGTTAGACGAAAACTTATCTTCTAATTGTTTACGTTCTGTATCAAATATTTTGGTAAATTCTGCATCAAGTTCATATTCTCTATATTTTTGTTAAGTATTTTATGTGTAGTTCATGTATTTTTTCATGAACAGAGCCAATAAATATAAAATAGCAATTTGAAAATTTTTCTAAAATAAATTTTATTTAATTTTAGGTTGTAGAATGCCGAGAACTATTAAGAATTGTACAGACTGTTTTTGCTACATTTGTGGTGAGTTTACTCTAAAAATGCAGCGAAATGCCATAACCGACCTTGTTAAAACAGCTTAGCAGCTATATTTTGAATTTTTTATCGATGAGAGGAATAAAAGTTGGCTGCCAAAAATATGCTGTGACAGTTGCTCAAGAACGTTGAGAGGTTGGCTTGAAGGTATCTAAGCCTTTTACAATGCCAATGCTTTGAAGTGAATCTCAGAATCATGAAAATGATTGTTATTTCTGCAACACGAGGATTCTCGAAAAAACTCGAAAAAAAAAAGATTATATATCAGAACCTCGCCTCCCCTTGGTGAAGGCACTTTACCTCCAGTTCCACCAAACTATAAAGAAAAGATGGAAAATAAAAATACTTCCAGTATACAGCCTCAATCGAATTTTATTTCTGCCTTACCTTCATGCACTTTATCTGGATCTTCAAGTCTATCAAACCTTATTTACTTAAACAATGTGAGTTAAATAATCTTGTTAGACACTTTAATAAACAGTGGAAGTTGTTGGATAAAAGTACATATTTTCGTACAAGATTTCACGAGTTATTTTTCGAAAGATGATTTAGTATATTGTAATGATGCTGTCGGGCTTCTTCAAGAACTTACTTTTCCAGAAAATTCTGATGAATGGAGACTTTTTATTGATGCCTCAAAGGTGAGTTTGAAAGCCGTTTTACTCCATAATGGTAATAAATACCCATCAGTGCCCGTTGCACATGCAACAAACATGGAAAAAATTTATGCAAATCTGGAGGTATCCGTGCTTATTTAAAAGTTCTCGCTGCTGTTGTTTTCTGTTCTTTGTGTTTTCTATGCGAGTAGGGCAGCCGCGCAAGAGAAAAATATTAATATGTCACTTAAAATTCATTTTTTGAACTTTCTTTCCTGAAAATCTCGGTGCCGCATCAGATGAGCAGGGGGAGAGGTTTCATCGAGATATAATGCAAATTGAAAGACGCTATAATGAAACGATGAAAAGAAACAAAAATACAAAGTAACTTGTATTTTATCACCATAATGAGATAAATTTACTGATATTTATATAACTTGCAAGAGAGCAAGAGTAACTTGCAATTAGCATTTTCCACTCTAAAACAGTATTTTTTTTGTAATTGTTGTTACTTTAATAATATCGTTTTTCAATTAAATGGGCATTTTATTCAAAATCTATGTTCTGTACTTAGTTGACTATTCAATTCCATGTTCAGAGCACAAAATATAAGGAGAGTTTTTTTTTTGCAGATTCATAGAAAATACTCACCTAACATGGGACGCCGGCACTACGAGAATCGTAAGCGACCCTTCCATATCTTTAAGAATATCACAGACTGCGTTTATACTTTTACCGCGCATTTCAATTCCGTTCACTTCGAGAATTTCGTCTCCTTCGTGTAAGAGGCCGCTCTTTTCGGCCGCACCGCCCCTAACAATCCTCCCTGAAAAGCGTATCGTGCGCGACATTTTCGTTGAACGTTAAATGGCGAAAAAGAATACCTATCACTACGGCGTCGCCGTCGTTTCGCACCGTCGCACCCAACGGTTCAGTCGTTTTTTCTATTCTAATTATTTTGATATTTTCATCGCCGTATCGACTGCCCGAAACGGTAGAAGGAAGCGAATCCGATTGTAAGGGCGTCGGTGAAGTGGAGTCGGGCGGTAAAGTCGTCGCGACTCCGTCGTGAGCAACCATTAAAGCTTCAAACTCATACCCTGATGAAAAACACGAAATTTTAACTACGGCACTCCTATCAGGCAAACTGAATTATTCAGGGTTCCCCAAAGTCCATGGCCGATTGGATTTCAACAAAAAAAAACTGCCACTTGTCTACCATAATTTTTTATTGCAGTAAACAAAATATATCAAGATCAAAAAGTAGATGTCGATACCAAGTTTCTATTTTTAAATGGAATTCCATTTTCGAATTCGCAATTCTCTATGCCAATCTCTTTTTTTAGCAAAATAAAAAACAGACATTTAATTTTGAAATGAACATGTAAGTGGTTAGTACCAGTAAAGCTCTTAAGTTGTCACAATTACCCAGATAATTGAAATTTTAATTTTTATTGGATTTGTGTCCAAGTCCAAATTGTATAACGAAAAAACATAAATTTAGATGATTTAAAATTTAACATTGGATACGGAATAAGGCAAATTAATGTAAATATCCTAAGTAATGTAATACAGTGAATCTATGGAGTGAGGGATTTGGATTGTCCATAAATGCAAAAGTAAAGTAAATACATAGAAAATACATAGAAAAAATTGGCAGTTATATTTAGGGCACAATTATAAATAGTAATAATTGTAGAAATAAAAACCACAATAGTCCAAAACTAACTTTATGCAAAATGAAAAGACTCTTTTGTTGTAGCGACCTCAGATCGGATTTAAAAATGAGAATGGTTAGATGCTATGTGTTCTCGGTGCTGTATTATGGTGCGGAGACATGGACTCTGAAGAAATTGGACATGAGAAACTAATGGCATTCGATATGTGGATATACTACAGAACGCTAAGGGTAAAATGGACCGGTAAAGTGACGAACAAGGAAATCATGAGAAGAATAAGAAAAGAAAAATAAATAAAAAAATGCAAACTGAAATACCTAGGACATATCATGAGGGGAAAGAAATACTATCTACTACAATTGATACTGCAAGGGAATCTTCATGGAAAAAGGAGTATAGGAAGACGACGTCACGCATGGAAGAGAAATCTATGTGACTGGTTCGGATGCAATACAAAGACGGCACTTGAAGAAGAAGAAGAATGTTTTCGAAAGGTTTTTAAAAATATTAGCATATTGTCATGATTTTTTTAAAAGAAAGTTCAACAGAGTACAGAGTTATATATTGTTTGAGAGAGGGCGGAGCTTCATGCTCATCCTTCAACTCCAACCCCCTCGAACAATATATAAGCACGTACGGATTAAAATGGCGCCAGTTTCAGTTGAGTTCTGAAAAAGCCAACAGGATGATGAAGGAGGGATCCAGAAGATTTGTAAATAGTATATTGCCAAGAAATTGATGGTCAGTATTTTCATTTAATAACATATTTTCTTTCAAATGCCCTGAATTTTACTCAGTTTGGATCTTGTAATGGGTCTGTATAGATATTTTGCCCTAAGCAAATTGCAAACTTCTTGAGTTCTCGTTTTATCTCCGTATCAAATATGACTTAAAATATCAATTTCCAAACATATGTTATTCGGTAGCTATTATATGAGATTTAAGCTATGACATACAGGGGGAATACAAAATTATATATATTTATAACGCATGAATTTTAAATGGCACTCTCTGCATTTTATAGCGACAAAATGTGCATAATTTGATAACATAGTCAAGTAGAATGCTTATAAGATAGTTATTTCCATGATCGATGTTTTTTGCAAAATTTTCTAAAAAATAATAGAAATACATAGAAAATTTCAGAATTTTTGATCTAACGAAAAATCTTTAAAGTTAATTTTAAACCATATATCGTTAAAAAATTTTAGAGACACAAAAAATAAACGTTGAAAGATTTTGACTTTTGTTGATATGTTTTTTTCCAGGAGCTTTAGCAATTTGTTGTAGCGACTTACTCTGCATCTGGCCTATCAGAATTGGGCTCTAGATTTAAATATTTGTTGAGGTGCATATCTGGGATTACTTTTTTTTACAATATTTTCAAGATCCTTAATTTTTTTTCTGAAATTGAACGTCTTTTGAGTGTTTAGTAACGTTAACAGTTCACATTCATTGTTTTCTCTCAAAATATAACTTTTGCTTTTTTTTGGTTAGTTAGTTAGCGGAAGAGTTTTTTTTATTTTTATGGTGGCATTAACACTCATTCGGAAATTTTGTGGGTTGCGTCATTTGACCTATTAAGTGGGAATATTCACAGCAGTAGCATTAGTTTTACTCTTCGACTAATTAATTATTTGACCAAAGAAGAGGAAGCACTTCAGCAAGATAGTTGATAGTTAGTTAGACAGTAGGTTGAGACTCGAACCTAGATGTGTCAATTTAAAACAATTCCAATGTGACCGAGCCTCACGACCTTTCATTGTTGATTTGCTGTTCCAAGTTCCTAGTTGAATAGTTTTAGTTTCAATATTCATAAATAGAAATTGACACGTATGATAAATACATTTGATCAAATGAAATCTGGACACTAACCAATATTAAAATCTATATCAATTTTATTCTAATCAACCAATAAAGACGAATCATAATAGCTATGCATTGCATTGTTTGAAAACAGTTAAAGACAAAGCCATATGCCTTACCTGTTAGAAGAGTAGCCAATTCCACGGCATAGGCACTCTGCGAACTGCTTAAAGAATCTAGAGCGTCCCTTAGAGCGGATTGAGCGATAGGGGCGGCTCTGGTGGCAGTCTTGGAACGTACTGATTGAATTTTATTATGTATCGCTAGGGCTCGACCAAACTGGGGCGAGAATAACAGCGACTGAATGGCAGCTATTCGGCCCTCCAAGCCAGATAACCCCGAACCCGCCGATGGTTTCTTTAGCTGGAGTTGCAACCGTTGCACGGCCGCTACCAAATCGCCATATGCTAAACAAATAAATTTGAAGTTGAAGAGGATCCCCGGTAAACCCTATCTCCAAGTTGCAAGCAATTTTTTTTTTAATTTTCACATTTCTGATTTTAATTCTTCCGTCTCGCGTCGTAAACACCGATCTTAATTGTAAATTAACAATCGAGTGACCTTGATTTAAAACAATGCGTCGCGTCTTACCCGACTTGAGGCGTTAGATTACATCCAGTGAATTTTTAATGAAGCATGTTATAACTTTCCTTTTTTGTACCAACTAGCGAGCCTACGACTTCCTTCAATGGTTACTAAATTTTATATTGCAGGAGGTCATATGAGTACATTTACCATCGCTTTTTTAAGAACAAATCAATAGTGAGAATTGCAATTCGATATTGTATTTGGTTTTAGTGATATAGCAACAAGTTCGATTTTTTAAGATTTCTACCAACGTCCCAAAGGTTCTTGCTTTTGAAGTTAGAAAAAAGATATTTACTCATTCTTCAGGCACTTGTTTGAGTGAAATGGAATTATCAGATTAGTTTCTTACATTTTTTTAATGTCTCACTCTAAGTATCTCAGTTACTCTAAACGTGTGCTCCAAAATACTTCGATTTTGAAGTATAAGGTCTCCAAAATTTATTTTCATTTTGTCTTTTTCCAGCATCTACTGTGATCTGGTTTTTCACCCCGTTTTTATTGAGTGTTTATATTTCGAAAATACATTATTTAGTTCTTCAATAAAACAAAAATAAAAATAAAACTTTGACGCCTTGTACGTCGAAAACGAAGCATTTTAGACCGGCATTTTCTAATAACATTTTACCTTTAAATGTCTCGTGAAATGGTCACCAGGGGCAGTAATTGTTATCCTCAATTTTAAAACATGTTTCATGCTTTTTGCTCTATTTCTACAAGAATAGTCGTGGGAGGTGTTCCAACATTTTTTTAAGTTTAACGCATCAGTGACGCGATTGTGATTGCTTAACTTGCCACCAGGTGGAGTTTTCTGACAACTGCAATATTTTTCTGACAAAAGTATAGTTTCATCCTAATGGGACTAGATATTCATATAAGAACCCAACAACTGAGTGAAAACCGGATCTCCTAACCTAAAATATGGATAAAAGTGTGATTTTTGTTATTAATGTCAAAATTTCGCGAATGTACCAAATAAAGCGCAAATTTATTATATTTATTACTTTTTTACACTACATTAGAAGGGCACCCAATTACGCTGTAGCGGACATTTCTAGATTTTGACATGCCTAACCGTATTCAAATATTTAGTATTATCACTTATTCTTTCATGAATAATTTGGTTTAGTCAACTAATCAAAACCAATCAATTGTTGAAGATTACTGAATTACGACAAGTTACAATAAGACAATTTGAATGCAATAAATATTTCATAAATTTAAAGTATCAAAAGGGTAGGCCAATCAAGAGACTTTGACCAGCGTCAAATAACGGCATGTAAGATTTGGTCAGATTAGAACAACATTTGTTTTCATGGCAATCTTGATAATTATAAATGAATCATTTCTGTGGAACAAGAAAGATGTTAAATGGTTTTCCAAATTTTAATATTTAAATACATAATTTTAAATGAAAAATAAGTAGTGATACTAAACGTTTTGAAACAGCTAAGCATGTCAAAATATTAAAATGTCAGAAGTAATTTGGTACTGTTTCAAGGAATTCTTAAAATAGTAATAAACATAAATAATAACATTTTATTTTGATTTTAAATATCATTTGATATTATAAATAATAAATTAGCGCTTTATACGGTAAATTCAAAATAAAATCTAACTTTTTTGTGAGATTTAAGTTCTTTTACTCATATTTTAGGTTAGGATGGAGATATTGAGATGTGGTTTCCACTGAGTTGTTAGGCCTTTATTTGACTATCTAATCACATAAAAAAATCATATCATTGCATTTGTTCTTTTTTCAATCTATTTAAGAAAATATTGTAACACGCCCCCTACGATCAACTTTAGAATTTTTTGTAGAAATTGAGTTTTAATATTCAAAATAGCAATTGCACCCCCTGGCGGTCCTTTCAGAAACTCGAAAATAATTTCCAACATTTTCCTTTCACCTATATTTTGTTTTGGTTTTTTGTTAATTTTTAGGACCATCTGTTTTCCTAATACCGTACCTCGTCGCCCTTAATAGAACACCTGCTATATTTTTTATCATGACAATTACTTAGTTAACTTCTATTCTAATTTATATTCACCAAGTTTCGTTTTGTAACTTATGGATGCTTGGTTAAGCAAACGGATATGCTACCGTTCGCCAAGTTAAAAATAAAAATGTTTCTATTCTATTCTATTTGATAAATAACGGCAGATGGCGAACATAGTATAAAACTCACCATAGGCAATGTGAACTTGCTCCTTCTCTGGGGTGGGCGTCTCCGTCCTCGAATCTGATATTTCGTCTTCGTAGGCATCGTTAATAGCACCTTGAGGCTTACTTTCTAACGCCTGGAGCTTCCGGGATCCCCGTAGGGACCTATTTAGGAATTCATTTTGGGCAGCTATCCTATCTTCCTCCTCTTTCCTTTTGCGAATTTGCTCCTTAAATTAAAAAAAAAAACATTATTCAACTTTTTTTGTCTTTGATTACGTAATGGAAAATTCCATACTCAGAAATGAAAGGACAGTTGCTGCCTGTGGACACCATAATTTCAGGTAAAATTATATTATTTTGTACCGCCAGCATTATATGATTATGAATTTTCTATTGCTAACCAAGAATTTTAGACAATTTTAGACATTGCTTAGTTTTAAAAAATAAATGTAAAAATCAACATATTTTCAGTAGCTAGGAAAATTGGGATTGAATGCTTTGGGATCAACCTGTGACTCCAATTGAAACTTTCAAAAATTGTCATTTTTAAAGAATGTATACGCGTTTAGCAAATTGAAAAACGAGCTGTCTACTAAAGCATTTCTTTCAGTATTTTTGGCGTATTTCAAACAATATTATTATAATGCCAATTTTTGTCGAAATGTATTGAATAGCTATGGATAAACTTTACAAAATCGAAACAACAATAGTATATTATGCAACAAGTGCGGTAAACGGCATTTGACTCACGAGTTTATTTGACACGAGCGGAGCGAGTTTTTAATAAGCGAGTGAGTTAAAAAGTTTACCGCACATGACACATGACACAAAAATAATGATAACATTAAGCACTATTAAAATTTTGCTAAAAACAAATATTTTTTCAACATTAATGATATTGTTTTAGTTTTTCGAATATTATATCAAATCCCGATATTTTATTTTTTAGTCTGATACTTTTTAATGTATGGGCTATTAAAAAATCCATTTCTATTTATATCGATGAAATAATAAACGACTGGTTCGCAAATTAAAAAAATGCTACGCTGCTTGGTTTTTATTGTTAATCGGAATTCAATGGTAGAATATATTAAACATGTACCTCCTAACAAACAATCCTTGAATGAGGACGACACTGACCTCATATTTAACATAGTGTTAAAATTAAACGTACCCGATTTAGAAAATAATTGTTGTTATGGTAATTCTTCCTGGCATTAGCCCCCATAATCATCATAGTGTCACAATTTTCCAGTGCTTTCACGGACACCGAGAAATTTTCACATGTTTTAAATATACACGCCCGAGAACGATCGCAAAAATCACCACGGAATTATTACGCCAGACGTCACGACCATTACTACGATACGCACAAAAATTTAAATTTTAAAAACACGGGTGGAAATCACGCAAATACGTGACTTACAGCTACAGCGTTCGACAAAGATGGCGCACGTTTAAAAAGCTTCCGATAAAAAAAGACGACTGCTATTTCACTTTATTAGTTCTACGTTACAAACACACACATACACAAACACACACAGGTAACCATTTAAGTGGTACTCCCACCTGTCCTATGTTTACCAAGTGGGTTCAATAATGCGTTAGCCAGGGATGCACTCGAAACATAGGTTAAATTTTTTAACGATTAGGTTAGTTTATTTTATCTGCGCCTTCCAGTTGCTGTTAGATTAAAAATGGTTTGCGGTTAAACTGATGCAGAAGAGCTGGTGTTTAATTTCTAATTTCGTTCAAAGTCTGCACAAATCGAATTGATGTACGCTGGTAACTGGATGGTAACACTGCGCAAAACCATAACGACAAGGTCTGGATAAACAGACTCATAGAGAAAATTTCACGAAACTAAGGACATTATCGGCAGGAATCATCCAAGCTGATTAGATTTACTTCAAAATAGCAGTTTCAGTATTAGAAAATATCCTAATTAATCATATAGCAGGTAATTAAAATGTCTTCTGTTGAAAGTAGTGTAACTAAAATATTTCCCCACCTTTTTGATACAATACATTCTATGCATTAACCTAACTGCGTAAATTACATACGCAAGTCCGACTCTGGCTGCAGTAGCACATCTACCGAGTTGACAATCGTTATATGAATTTTAAACCAATCAGCAAAATTCCATTAATTCTCTGAACTTGGTTAAAACTAGAAATTTTGAAAAAATATGTGTTGCATTTTTGGTACATTATAGAAAATATTTTACTTGGGCAGAAAAATAAAAATTTTACTTTTGAACGTCATTTATTTTCGTTTTCGTTAGATTTTCTTTACTTGACTTGTTTTATTTATGTCCTGCCGAAATCAATATTAATTTTAAGAAAGACATTAAAAAAAGAATTTTTAAAATAAATTTTCACTAAATTTAACTTTAAATTTTAACAACTAAACAAACATTATGCTATATATAACATTTATAACTGATCCATAGCTAGAAATTTGCAATAATTCATTATTTGCTCTAATGCCGTTTTATTTTTTCTTTTGTCCTTTTAACTTCTAAAATCACATTACTCTTTGGTAGTACAAGTTAGATTTTTTCATCTCAATTTTTGTGTTGCTGTAATACAAATAGTTCAAACTTCGGGGGGGGGGGGGGGGGGAGAAAATATCAAAGCATAAACATGATATTGAAAATTGGATATCTTTGGAAAACTGATATTTTTGATTATTGCTATTTTAGTTTTCTTTAAAGTTACATGGAATACCAGCAATCAATACTCATTGCATATTCTCTGTTTTGGGCGAAATATATGAAAGAAACATTCAGGTCTATTGTATTTTTTTGTACTCATTCGTACCACAAAATTGTTTTATTTATGTCCCGCTGAAATGAATATTAAACTCACACCAAGAAGAGAAAAGGAAAAAATTTAAACAAAAATAAATTTTTACTGACTATAACTTTAAATTTTAATAACTAAACAAATTATATGCTTTATCATCTAAAAAAAATATATAGTAACTGATGCATAGCTAGAAATTTGCAATACTGGCTCTAATATCCTTGTATTTTTTTCTTTTTATCCTTTTAATTTATTAAGTCACATTACTGTTTGGTGGTACAAGTGAGATATTATCATCCGAATTTTTGTGTTCCTGTAATGGATAGCCCTAAATTATAGTGGGGGAGAAAAGGTCAAAGGTCAACATGAGATTAAAAATTAAATCTCTTTTATTTGACGTTTAGTTGTTTACCTGATATTCTTGAATATTGATATCTTCGTTTTCTTTAAAATTATATTGAAAACCAGCACTCGATGTGGATTCTCTGCCTTGTTCGAAATATATGCAAATAACATTTCAGATCTGTTCTATTATTTTGTACTCATTCGTTCCACAAAATTGTTTTATTTATGTCCCGTTGAGATTAATATTTAATTATTTATCAATTATTTCAACGATAGGTAACAAAATGTACCACAATTGTTACAATTTTGTGCATTTTTTTTACATCTATTTTTTTTATTCTTTTAATTTTTTAATTATCATTACTATTTGGTGGTACAAATTAATTCCAATTTTTATGTTTCTGTAATTACCAGCAATAAATAATAAAGTCCGTTTTTGATAGCTTAGGCTTTTGTGGCAAGGAAGATGTATATATGTTATTATTTAACTATTGTCTTATTAGAAATTATGGATACGACTCGAAAAAAAAATATTGGTACAATAGTAGCATTAAATCTAATTAGCAAAGATGGAGCTTGTTGCATTTTCAAAATTCGATTAATATAAAAACCTTATATTAGACTAATAAAACAAAATTCTACTTTTCATATAATAGTTAAATAGTAATATGTGTACGTGTGATAAAAAATTTTGTGGGTACAAATTAGTACAAAATATAATAGGTCTGAATTGATTCATCCCGCAATCTCAGATCAAACAACACTTGATTCAATTTTAAATTTATAACGATTTGGATCATTTTGAAGGTTTCGCTTAGTAACTTAACCGCAAAATCTATTTAATCGTATTTATTTAGAAGACACAGACGCGATGACAGGAAATACATGCTTTTTTATATATGGTAGACGAGCTTTGTGAATAATAACAGCCATACATAGCGGAGTCCGTTGGACAATATGCCGGATGTTTCTGGCCGATTGTTATTCCATGAGCGACTCTTTATGTTAGTCGGTCTGTGAATTTCAACCTGTTTCAATTCAATACTTATAGATATAGGCAGCAGAAATATCGGTAACTAAGGTGGCTCTACTCAATAAGTTAATTAAAATAAAAACAAGTAAAAGCGAATGTGCAGTAGTACGATTCTCTGAGAAATTCTACCAAAACGTAAACATTTCTGCTCCACATACTAACGGTATAATAAAGAACCTCGCTTCCGCTTTTGTTTAGCTTCGTAATTTTCAAATGTCATTTCATATATTCGTTTATTCAGTGACATATTTTGTTAGGCATGGCATGACGGTTGAAATTTCTATCTCGGCTTTACCTGGTACTTTTTGATGCTGTCCAATTGTTCCTTGGTCGGCTCCGTAACCACGGACGTGCAATTCCCCGTGGCGTTCGTCAACGATGCCACATTAATGTTATTATTGTTGTTGTTGGGAATCCGAGCCGGGATTTGAGGGGCGGGTGCTCTATTTACAATCCTTCCGTCCGCTTCAATTTTCAGATGGTCTCTTGGTGGTGGGACCGGTTTTGTGGGGGCGTGAAGGGGCGCTTGCTGCGTTGTTGCGGAAGGTTGGAGGTGGTTATTGTGTGGGGTGCTCGGTAAACTACCGTTGAGACTAGGCTGCGATCGAGAGAATTGAAAATTAATTTTTCAAAGCTTTCACAGGCTATATAAAACTTCTGGATTCCTCTTCCGTCGGTTTTTGCGGAGTCGAACTTGCTGACGTTTCGCCTGTACCTGCTTATATATTACTCGAATGATTGATTGATGATTGATTATCACATTGGTGACATGTAAAGACCTGAGTCGCGATTAAGATTGTTAGGTTGCTTATAGATTTCTATAGATTCATAGATTCTCCGATTTTTAGTTGGTAGAAGAATTGATTACATGTAAGAATTTTAGTTTTGTCGAATATAATTTTACGTCCGGTTTCGTGATTTTGTTTTTGATTTGCCGATAAGTTTTTTGTCTTAGTCTTAAGGCTCTTTCATGTTCTTTGGGTCTAGTTGATATTTTTCGCCCGGTTTCTCTGATACATTGTTTGCCGCATATGCATGGAATGCAGGAAACTCATGGTATCTCAAATGTAATTTTGTCTTTCACGACTCGAAGATGTTGAGAGATTTTTGGTCACGTGGTAAATCTTAGAACTTTAGAATGTAAAGAAGGACAACAGTGGCAAGTGTGGGATTGCTTTCGGCTTCATTGCTATTGGAAGGTTGTGGTGAAGTGTATTTTTTGATGGAACGCTTAATGTTTTAATTCTGGGTTCAGTGACTCGGGCTGAGATAGTTTTACGGTTCTGTAAACAAGAGAGTTGATAACCGATGATTTTTGGGTGGGATGGTGATGTCACAATGCATTAAGGTATTGGTCTGTGTGCGTAGCAATGTTAGGCTCAAAGAACATGAAAGAGCCTTAAAACTAAGACAAATAAATTCATCAGCAGTTGCCGAACACAATCAACAAACCAGACATAAAATTTTATTCGATAAAACTAAAATTCTTGCATGTAATCAATTCTTCTACCAACGAAAAATACGACAATCTGTAGAAATCTATGAGAAAAATAACAATCTTAACCGCGACACCAAAATGGGAATCAGTCATCCGAGACGGTGTTTATTCCCCTCATTTAGCTCCGCCCCCCTCAAACAATATATAAGCAGGTACAAAGTAAAATGCGAGCCAGTTTCAGTCAAGCTCTGAAGAAGCCAACAAGATGATTGGCCAAACGTTAGCAAGTTCGAGTCAACAAAAACCGACGCAGAATGAATCCAACAGTTTTATAAAAAGAATTGAAAATTATTAGTCCATTTAGAATTTTTCATTGTTAAAGGGTTCCACATACCTTGACCACGCATGCAAGTATATCATACTGCGTGACAAATAAAAGTAGTTCATTAAACTTCAACACTTTTTGGTGGCCTATCATTAAATATAGGTAAGAAAATTACTACAGTTGACTTGTTGAGAATTGAGGCATAGATATTATGATCGGTATTAAATAATTTGCAGCAAAAACCTTCTTTCCACTGTCACTCAGAAATATTATTCTTGCTTACGCTCCTTACAATCAGTAAATATTTCTGAATGTGAACGGCCAAAATATGGATCAAAGAACAGGTATTCTTTATCAATAAAAATGCTCACACAAATCGATCATAAGCTTTTCTTGTCCATTTTTTACAGTAAATAGAAAACCTAAAGGGTGGATCAAAAGGTAGATGTCGATACCAAGTTCTTTTTTGAATCCTGTTTAAATTTTAAGCGTAGTTCATGTTGCATACCTATCTCTAGCTTTTTCGACTAAAGTTCTTAAATTGAATATGGCGTATCTAAATGAAAGCATAAGAAAGACAAATTTTAATTTTTATTTTATATGAAAACACAACGAGAACTCAAAAAGAAGTTTAACGCAAAATATCCAGAAAGACTCATTACAAGATCCTCACTGAGTAAAATTGAGAGAAACAGGGCAAAATACCCACCATTAACTTGACAATATTCTAATCTAAATTTTAAGTCATCTAAATTTTGTAGTTTTTCCTTATCAACTTTTGATTTTAAATATCCCCAGAGGAAAAAATCCAGTGGAGTAATATCTGGAAATCTTGCGGACCATTCTAATGGTCCCCTTCTACCAATCCACTGTCCGGGAAATACCTTATTTAAATATTCGCGCATTTGTTGAGCCACATCTGTCTATCAGGCCGACTTAGATTTGGAAAAGAAAGTACGAGTGTAGAAATTACATCATTTTGAAGAAGATGTAAATATCGTGCTGCAGTACGAATTTTGATGGAATCAAATTACAAAAACTTCTTCTTGAGTTCTTGTTTTATCTCTATATCCAATAAAAATTAAAATTTCAATTCTCTGGGTTTCATTTACATATTCACTTTGTTTACTGACAAAAAATTACTGGTAGTAGCTACTTACCTGTTCGTTTCAAAATTAAATATTTTATTTTTCATTCTATTCATAAAAAATAAGATAATCTGAAAATTGGATGAAAAAAAAAGGTGTTTCATTTCAAAAAACGAACTTTACTCGAAAAGCTTGTTCCATATTGTTGCCTTCCACTGTATTTTTACGTATTGGAACTTCTTAACAATATAACTATTACATTCCTATCAACTACAACCGATATTATTTTTCATTAATACTTAATTCTGACCTATATTAAAGTTATATTTCTCTAGTGCATGTGCTTAATCACTCTCCTATAGATTCGCTTACCTAGGAAGAACAGATCTACTTCTAGCAACTTATTTGATGTACACAAGATTACAGTATACTGAAAGGATATAAAGTGACTATATTGCACCTACATGACAAAATTCTACTCAAATGCTTTACGATCGTTAAAAAAAAAACATTTTCTAATATTTACTAATAATAGTTAAATTGGTTAAAATCTACTCATCTCTTTCGAGTAAAACGTGTTATTACGATCATGCTCGAGGACTGATCCAAGTCTCTTTACGCAACGTTACCTCTAAAATTTTCGAAGGACGGTATTTAATCGGAGCAATCTTTTTTCCTTGTACAAAGTTATCTGGCACATCGATCGCTCTTTCTTGTACGTCAATTCCGATGGTTTTGTTGTAAAATTTATCATATCCTGCCTGAACATGAACAAACTAATGTATAATCAAATTTGAAAACAAGCAAAATTTTAATGAATGCTTTTCCTGAGAATGGAAATAAGTGTTAATAATTAATATTTTTTAACATGCTCTGTGGGTACAGAGAATGCATAGCAACCTAAATCGAGTGTGACGGCCCAGATATAACAACGAAAACCGTGCTTGTTTACCGTGAGTGGGGGTTTTGGCGGTGGATATCTTGGAGGCGTCTTGTTCCTCGCCACAAAACTGTCCGGAACGTCCACCGCCATTTCTCTGTGTGGTGCCCCATCGCCATTGCCAGGAGACACCATCATAACCATATCGAAACTATTCCCGTCGAGTAAGTCGTCTGGTGGCTTCTTCACGGGCTCCTGAAGTTCCGAATCTAGAACGACGATACTACCACCAGACCTTCTTCGTGGCCTACAATGAAAAAAACAACGTAAAATTAATGATGAATGGGCAGTAAAGGATCTTTAATTACTTCCCATCTTAAACAAATCAACCTAAAAACTTTAAAATTGTGAATTATATATAACAGAGCATTATAAAAAATCGTCCGAAATACTCGTCTAATAATAAGCTGAAAACATAGATCACAAGTTGTCACGTTTTACAGCTATAAAAAATGAAATTGAAAAACTAACCAAAACTAAATCATTTGATTCAATTTTATTTTAACATCAGTAAAAACTACAGATATATTTACTAGGTTGTGGGGAAATTTGACAAACACTTAACGGTAATAGCATATTTTCTACTCCTGTCTGTAAAATACCTAATTACCCATCCTTCTAGCGTGCAGGAAGCGTCACTTTACCACGTCAGTTTCGTTTCCCATGCTTCCGAGCCACTTCGGATATTTCCGAGATTTTATCGCACGGATTTGGGAGCAATCGGATGTTTTCGGAGATATTTCCCACGCTTTGAATTTTGGCGTTTGTAATTCTAACGGTCATGTCAGTGAATGTATTCTTGTTGTTTTGCGAAAATGTATCCAAAAACTAACAGTGTCCGTTTGCCGCATTTGTTGAATTATATACTATTGTTTGTACTGATGAGACATGGATATTTGAAAATAGCACAATTGGTCCTGGCAAGATATTAATATAAAAACTGTAATAATCACTAAAGTTCATGCGAACGGCATGTAAAATTTCTGAGGGAAACCTAAATTATAAATGTCACTTTATTTACCGGCTTGTACACTAAATTTTAATTGTAGCTTATAGCATGTAGTATTTAAATTGTCTAATATATTGCGTAACATTGTTCTGTGTATTAGTTTTTGGGTACATTTATACAAAACAACACCGATACATTCACTGACATGACCGTCAGAATTGACAAACGTCAAAATTCAAACCGTGCGGTAATATTTCCGAAAACATCCCAAAACTGTGCGGTAAAATCCCAGAAATGTCCGAAGTGCCTCGGATCGGTGGGAAACGAAACTGACGTGGTCAAGTGGTGATTGGTGGGTGATTAGGTATTTTACAGAAGGGAGTAGACTCGTGAGTCAAATGCCGCACGTGTTGCATAATATACTATTAATGGGAAACTTTTAAAACTAAAAAACTCAGTTTTTATAAAGTTACTCTAATTTTAAATAAATATAAGTGTGGTAAACGGCCTTTGTCACGTGTTTAATAAACAAGTCACCGTAATAATTGACGTCAAAATTTAAGGCGTGCGGTAAAATCTCTGAAAATATCCGATTGCTCCCAAACCCCGGCAGTAAATATCCCGGAAATATGTGGCTCGGGTCCGTAGGATAAGAAACTCACGTGGTAAAGTATAATTATAATACGAATACATTCACTGACATGACTGTCAGAATTGTCAAACGTCAAGATTCAAAGCGTCGGAAATATCTCCAAAAACATCCGATTGCTTCCAAATCCGTGCGGTAAAATCCCGGAAATGTCCGAAGTGGCTCGGATTCATGGGAAACGAAACTGACGCTTCCCGCACGCTAGATCGGTGTATAATTAGGTATTTTACAGAAGGGAGTAGAAAAAAACTTTTTCGTCACAATACTATCAAGATTTATAAAGCATTTCTCAAGTAAAATTCAAGATAATTCAAAAGTAAAAAATACATTCCGACTTAAACACAAAAGTATTTTTAATTTAGCGAAACTCTGTTTTAAAAACTGACTTTTGCAACGACGGAAAATGTCAAATATTTTCTGATAATATTGTAGCGCTGCATGGTAGTAAAATAAGTATTCTTAAAAATGTATTATAAATTATTCCGGGAAACATTGTATCGTATAATTTGATTGTTAGTTATCTCTTCCAGGAAAGTCACAATGTTCAGTTGTTAATTTCCATTTCGTGCTTTACTAATTACTTTTGTCTCCAGCAAAATAAAATAGGCTTAAATATAGCTTCGTGTTTCAAATACGTTCTAACGAAAGCAAAAATAACAAAACGTTTTTAAATTCTTGCCGATGACCTGCTCGGAAATACTTAGCAGGTACCGCATAATGGCTCAGACAAGAATGTTAAGTAGTCTATAGATTAGAGGGATACTTGGTGCCGTGACGCCAGTAACATAAATGGTGGTTGACAAACACTTGAAGACGTATAATGGCTTTGTTAAATAATATTCCCTGGATTTCATTTTCTCACAACTTTTAATTTTGAAGTACCAGTAATTTTTGTTAGCAATTTTATAATCTCAATACCGACGTAATAGTTCTACCAGAATTCACAAAATAAATAAATAAAATAACACGATAAGCCGCATTCGAGCATTATATCGTTAGCTGACTATACGGTAACGTTCTGCACTGTACAGTTTTGCTTTCAATTGATTTTTGTTATCTGTTATTGTGTTATTTATTTTGATACGGGAGCGTGTCGAATTTGAACAAGTAGGCACATATACGTCCCGGGTTGAATTTCATAACAAACACGTACGAAAAACGGTAATAACCGTGCAACGGATACATCATATCGCAGAAACAAGACGGCATTATTATTTTTTGAGCCAGTAGAATTTCGTACTTGCGGTTTTTAGTGAGCTGAAATCTGATTTTTGTTAAATTGGAAAATGTAAAAATTGCAATTTACAATTCTAATTTTACTCCTTTAAATTCGTCCACATCGGAGATCCCGTAATAACGTTAACGGCCATCCAGGAAGGAAAGAAGTTTTGAACAAAATATTACATGAAAGATAATTTTTGTTTCGCACCAAATTGGAAGTTTCGAATTATCAGTAGACAACAACGAACCCATTCAAAGGCCTGTCATTACAATTTTTTGTTGCCACTTGCCAAATCTATCCGCATAATAAAATGGACTTCCGCTCGAGTATTTCACATTCAACAATTTGTAACCTGCTCTTTAACGCCCTCTTTAATGGCGAAATTATCTACAGCTTGTTTACGCGCTTCGCAACTCATGAAGAAAATATCCTTTCTGAAAACCGAGCCTCTTATGCTTTTTCCTGCGGTATTAAAGCAAACTTAAATATTAAACAGTGTCAATGTCAAATCACTTCTTTGGAGCAGCTTTCACATTGAACCATGTTTTTCTTGGACCGGAAGAAAGAAAGCAAATTCTCTTGGCAATATCGTAATCAACTCGTCTTAATCGGGCACTTTATAAGCGAGTGGCTTAAAATACCCATCAAACTCAGCACTACAGATGGTAAAAACATCGCTATTTTTGTGATGAGAATTCTCGATTAAATTTGAAATGTAGCAGAACAGAATTGGGTTCACATTGAAAACGGTAATAATTTGCCAATAACGCGTTCTTAAATTTTGCATCAAAAGGATCCTTTTCTACACCTTTACTTAACTCGATCTCCACGCTTATAACGTTAACCTCAGAACGATTCTTTTCGATTTAAGACGCTTGAAGTCTTAACAAAGCACTTTCGTATGTTAAACGAACCTTCAGGTAATTTAAGTTTAAGGCCGGTGTACAGCCAATTAACGTTAATTGGGAAGAAGTTAGATTTTATGTAAAAAAAAGCATGTAACCAAAGCTAATGTCGTAACTGCCTTACACTTATTTTGTATATATAAGTTCACTCTTTAATTTTGGCTAGCCGCTTGTTCGTAATTATCAAAATTGTCAGTCAAAAAGAGTTAAACCAAAAAAAATTATGTTTTGTTCTTTATTGTTCTTAAAATTATCCGATAAAGCAACAATATTTAACAAAGCACAAATTTTTGCCCTCTTCTTTTTAGAACCACGAGGTGTAGATGCCGAAACAGTATATTAAGTCACTTAAATGATCATGCATTTACAGATGTTCAATTACAGTTAGCCAATCCAAAATATTAAAATAAAATGAAGATATCGTACCAATAATATTTTAAAATCCTCATGGTAATATTCGTACTACTCGCGCGCACCAAAATTAAAGTCGCTTCAATTTCCGTTCAAAGTACTAATTGTCGCACATGTCTGTCGTCAGCACTCCAAAAAAATGCAGGAAACTCAAAATCAAAGCCACCTCTCATTTAAGAAACTGTGTTTACGGTCATATACGTGTTTTCATGGTACCCAACGAACTGACTCGATAGTGTACCACGAACCAAGAAACAAGTGGGTGTAACGGACAGGTATAAAAAAGTCAATTCTGATAAACATATCCGGCCGTACTAATGGTACGACTTGCCCCGCACTCGATACTTTCTTCCGATGGCTCAGACGAATCTTTAGGGCATTCTTCTCGTACGAAGATGGTGGGTTTGTTTGGTCTACCCGGTCAGGTAAAGGTAAGAAAAGGTATTTTTATGACTCTCGGTTCGACGGAGCGGAACTCTCCGCGTTTTTGTTTGACTTTGCGTTTTGAATTGCGCCAGACGGCAGTTTCTCAGACTGCACTTATTTTTTAATTTGGGCATTTTATGACAAAGGCGAAAAGCGGGACTAAAAGTTGAAGCTTTAATACGAGTCGTTGTTACATATATTACCAAAATTTCGCACATATTTACAGTGGATTTCCTGCTTATTTAACTGAATGGCTACCGTAGTTTTTCAAATTTGTGTTAGTTATGATTTTTTCATCCACTTCAAGTAGTCAAAGTCGACTCCCACGCCTGGTATTTGAGAAACGGTAAGAGATACAAGATGTTTTAGCTCCTGTTGTTATTTTCCAAAAAAAAAATTGAAAATTTAGAAGTACGTCAGCAAAGGAAAAATATGCCTTTGGAACTTATTGAGTTTCATTTCCGTATAATTTTATATTACATTATTTACAGCGTTTCATTTTTCTTTCTTTCCTTTCCTTATATAAAGATTATAATGATCCAAATTATTATTTTTTTAACTAATCTAAAAAACTAAGAAGGATATCCTTTAATCCTAATTCATTTCGATTTTCGACGTGACTTGCACCAGGATTTAATTGCAAAAGGCCATTCAAATAAATACTAAAGTATTAAAATTAAAATAT